AGTCTTTTAGAAGGATGCGTAAAAGAATGTAATGAAATATACAAACGAGAAGAAAATAGGGCTTTGTAAAATGCTGCAAACTTTGGGAATTAGTTAGACAGAGAGCATCACAGGCAATCGAATAAACCACTTCAGTTCAAGTACAACTTTGTCTCATACTGTCTTCCTTTGTCCATATAACCTCACAGGTTATATTCAGTGGAGAATCCAGGTACCTCTCTCAGCACTGAGTTTTTCACGATAACGTGATCGAAGTTGAAACAACAATTTTCATCAACCATGGCAGGTACAGCACATATGGATTCCATCCTTCCAAAGTTTACCGAGTACAACTCTGAGGATCCTGAGTTATCGATCGACCGGTACAAGAAATATGTTTTCAAAGCATGCACTGCCATTCAACAAGCTAGCAATTTTCCCCTCTACCTTGCTAGTTCTGCCAGTTACTGGTACAGAGACTTGCCTACAGCAACAACGGGCACCTTTGGGGCACTCAAACTTTCCTCAAGAAATATGAGCCACACGAAGACATGCAGTAGGTGTGATTGTCAGAGCTGGCCGACAGGTAACAACAGCCTAATGAGGCAGTTGAGAGATACCTACATGAAATAGAGAAATTGTGTTGTCAGTTGAAGCGATCACAAGAGGAGAGAATAAAGGCATTTATAAGAGGACTGCTGCCCAACCTGCGAGCCCATATCATCAAGTCTCATCCAAAGACAATGGACGACGCGGTAACACAAGCTAGAATTGCTTAGTCGACATCAGTCACAGCGAAGACCACGAACATTATAGATTAAGTCAAATAGAAGGATGCGTAAAAGAATGTAATGAAATATACAAACAAGAAGAAAACAGGGCTTTGTAAAACGCTGCAAACTTTTTGGAATTTGTTAGACAGAGAGCATCACAGGCAACCGAATAAACCACTTCAGCTCAAGTACAACTTTGTCTCATACTGTCTTCCTTTGTCCATATAACCTCACAGGTTATATTCAGTGGAGAATCCAGGTACCTCTCTCAGCACTGAGTTTTTCACGATAACGTGATCGAAATTGAAACAACAATTTTCATCAATCTTGGCACGTACAGCACATATGGATTCCATCCTCCCAAAGTTTACCGAGTACAACTCTGAGGATCCTGAGTTATCAATCAACCGGTACAAGAGATATGCCTTCCAGAAAGCATGCACTGCTGTTCAACAAGCTAGCAATTTTCCCCTATACCTTGCTAGTTCTGCCAGTTACTTGTACAGAGACTTGCCTAGAGCAGCAACATGGGGATGAACAGCGTGAGATGGCAAAAAAGACTGTTGGTCCTCAAGATATTTAATTTGAAATTAAACAAAAATATAATGGTAGGCAGCAGCAAGTAATTGATAGGGTTATCCACAGCGTAGACCACGAACGTTATAGTTTAAGTCATTTTGAAGGATACGTAAATAAATATAATGAAATATACAAATGAGAAGAAAACAGGGCTTTGTAAAATGCCGCAAACTTTGGGAATTTGTTAGACAGAGAGCATCACACGAAGACATGCAGTGGGTGCGATTGTCAGAGCTGGCCGACAGGTGACAACAGCCTAATAAAGCAGTCAAAAGATACCTAAGCGAAATAGAGAACTGTGTTGTCAGTTAAAGCAATCACAAGAGGAGAGAATCTGGGTATTTATAACGACTGCTGCCCAACCTCAGAGCTCATGTCATCAAGTCTCATCCAAAGACAATGGATGAGATGGTAACACAAGCTAGAATTGCTCAGTTGAAATCTGCAGTGTAAAAACACCTTACCTTACCGAGTCTCCGTCGCATCCTCTGATGCCACTACCAGGAAAGGAATGCCACGAACCTGGACACGCAACTTGTCCAGCTACCTCAGGACCAGAAGTCATCATCACAGGCCTTCCTCTTGAAGGCATCTGACCTCAAACAAAAGGTCATCTTTGCTAGTCAAGAGGCAGAGTCTTCTCTAAGATATGACTGCACCCTAATGCAGAATACGTTCCGGCACGCTGTCCTGACACATATTTGAGGAGTGACAACATCAAGGTGGAGCTAGGCCCACATTGGATGACCCTGAGTCAACAGACGAAACCCTGTTGGAGGAGTTGAATGTGTGTTCCAGTCTGGAGGCTGAACGGTGGAAGAAACTCCATCCTACGAGGCTGGTGAATGTCAACGAGCTGCAGGAGAGTGAGCCAGCACAGAAACCTCAGCCAAAGCCAAGGCTCCTGACAACCCAGATAGCTAAATGTTAAGCTGGCATGGCAGAGTTGCCTCCCTGATGACGCAGGTCGCTGCCCTGAATGAATCTCTACAAAGGGCCCCGACCCGACACCCCCAACGACGACTCCCCTAACTTCGACCCTCTACAAGCCAGGGCAGTAGGAAGTGCCAGGAAGATGGTATCATTTTTCCCGGACTGTCGCCATGGGAGCACACAGCAACATCAGGGAAACGACAGAGGGTCGCCCCCCACAGGACAGGGAGTGACCTCAGCCCAAGGAATGTCCCATCCACCAGACGAGTTTCTGGCCTTGAGATGGGCAGCAACGGAGAAATTCCAAGATTACCTGTATGACTCTTCCCCATTCAAGGTGTACATACTAACGGCAATAATAACACTTGGTCATTTCCATTCTGTTGTTAAAACTGATAACAGCTATGTAGTTATTGATGACCTAAGAGACAATGTTAACTTTTATCTCTCATTTGGAGCAGCTATACCACAACAGGAACAGTTCACTGCCATGAAACAAACACGCATCTATCATTTCACAAAAGGAAAACATGTATGCAAATTTGATGGTTTTACAGAGTTGTTTCCAATACGGCACTTGCACTACCCTGAATCAAACTCATGATGGCTCGTACACACTCGTTTATGCCAAAGTACATGGGATTGAACATGTTGAAGAAACCTGCAATGAAACAATCGGCGATGCAGTATCTGAAGAAAAAACCTGCATTGATAAAAGGGGCACTTCTCCCCCAGTAAAAGGGAAAGCACATTGTCATAACAAAATGGTTTGTCAGACTTCAGTAATGATGATGTTTGTGTTTCTTCATGTAGCCCCATCAAGAGAGCACAGACAGGCAGTGACATGTTTGGTGATCCACACAAAAGAAAACCATGATGACAATCAAAATACATGGTCTATGACAGTAAATTTACAAAGTCACAATCGTGTAGTGTTCACGATGGTTTATCAGAGTCTCCTGTCTGTGATGCCAACAATCCCTAAGATCAAACTCTGGAAAAATCGTATGAACCTGAAACAATGAGGGCTCCTCTTGACCCAACATATGTCAATGTATTATCTCCTAGAAGAGTTTGTGAAACTCCTCAATCGTTTAGAGGTAAGGAAAATAAGAACATCAGACATGTATTAAGGAGAAACAGAACAGAACACAGAACAGATGAATCATCTGATCATTGTAGAGAATGCCCTGAACATTACATGAAGAAATGGAGATCTTTGGCAACCATTACAAGATTGCCTATTGATGCAGCCGCTGTTTCGAAAGACTACATCCATGCACATACATGTATATTAGGACAAGTGGTTGGTTATGCATTGTACAATCATGACAAACTCTACTGTCCCTGTCCAAATATTCTTCAAATCGCTTGGATAGAAATAAATACGGAATATTCAAATCTTGATGGGATTTAAGAAAGGAATTTTTTGAATGGTCCAGCAGTTTTATGATGCGGGGAAATAAGCGATCATGGATACTTAAACTAAAAGATGCCCTGTTAACAATTTCAAGGCACAAGGCTTTCTACAACTGAGCCAAAAAAGAGATTTTAGAATACACAATCCTCGAAATTGGACAAGAAAAGTTGTTGCACTTTGAGGAAGCAAAGTGGTACAATCCGGCGACCAAAAGAGGGGGTCTGTTCAAGGATTACATTAAAGCCTTCCTCCAGCTCAAACAGAAGGCTAGCGGATGGCTCAAGTTGTGCGACACCGATGAAAAGAAAAGCACCTACATCCGGGACTACGAATTCACAGGGCATCAGACTCGATCCTGCATCTGTCAAGAGGAACGAGGGCATGAGGGCAGTGGCCAAACTCATGCTCAACAGCTTTTGGGGAAGTTTGGCCAATGTCAGAACATGCCCAAGATGGTGTATGTTAAAACCCTTAGATTATTTCGCACTGCTTCTAGACGACAGTGGTTCCCCACTGACACAGAGCATTGCTGGCAGTGGACCTAGACTGGCTAGCTTTGGCTAACCATCTGTCCCAGGTAGCAATGGGTACAAATGGAACTGCTACCAAGGCAAAAAGTCTCCATCTGACACTTGTATCAGTTTGGCTTTGAAGTTCTTCAGTATCTGTAGAACCATAAGTGAGGTCTTCCAGGACAACGACTCATCAGTGGAAACCGTGTACACCACCCTGCATGCTGCACAGCTCAAGTTAGCCTCCGACCGATTTGATGCCAAGGGAACGCTGAAATCCTTTGTCGAAAAGGATCTTGTTGTAACAGAGACTGATGTCATGTACAGAGGCGAGAGTCTATAGCTACAGTCAGGTGGTTCCAGGGGAAGACAACACACACTTGACACAGCTCTGGAGGATGTAGAAAGAGCGTCAGTTGCATGGTGTCTGCCACTGCAGAGGCTCTCAATCAGAGGTTTGCCTCATTTAATGACCCTGTACTAAAAGCTTTGCGAGTATTTGAGCCAACGAACTGGCCTCATGACATTAAAGTGTTAGCAGATTTTGGAACTACTGAGATTCAGACCATCAGTAACCATTTCAGTGATCTGCTGATTAGGAATGGTACTGATATAACTTCAATGGAAATTGAATTGACCCAGCTACTACTATCATGCAGAGAGCTGAAAAGGGAACAACCCGACCAAAAAAAAATTGCCCCAAACAAATGAGTGAATTCTAGAGAAAACAATGTGGAAATGAAGTATCTCTTCTACAGACTTTCTAAATTGCCTAAACTTTAATCACAACGGGTTTTTTTCCCCAAAAGGAGGAGAGGACTCAGTCCTAGGACAGCAATAGAGCGACTGACAATTTGGAGGTTCACCTTCAGTGGAAGTTCATTTTTTTTCATCCGCATTGTTCGACTTGTTTCAGAGATGTTTTGCGTGCCATTCACTGAATGTGACGAATAAGGAAAGGGTTGTAGGCACCTTTGTGTCTATAACCCAGGAATGCAACACGTGTGACGCTGACACGTTCAAGTGGGAGAGCCAGCCAGTCTATGGCTGCATCTTGGCAGGTAACCTGAAGTTTGCAGCTGCAACGTTATTTGCAGATGGGAGCTGCACCACTATGCTGCGTCCCCTCAAACTCAGGAAGGTTGCAGCCATTGGTGAAAGGGCTTTTTATAAACACTGGCCGAGTGTTTCCAAAATGTGGTGCACTTATCTCAGTGCTATTTTCTGTTATTCAGTGTTATTTTCTGTTATTCTGTGAAATTTTGACTTGTGGCAGTTATGGCCATGTCCAAAGTGCTTGAAGAGGCACTTGATCTTGGGAATGAAATGCTAGTTCAGACACTAGTCAGTGCTTTTGAAAATTCAGAGGCGAATGTTGATAATCTTGTTAGGGATATTGTAGGCATACTCGCAGATAGTAATGCATTGCTAGTCAACAGTGTAAGCTCATTATATTTAGGGCATGTTACCTCCATCCACGGACTTCACTTCATTACCGTGTGATGAAATTTAGGAAAAATGTCATACAAAACACAGTACTTGTGGCAAGTGTACTTGGGCACTGCACAAGGAAAAGAAGAGCCAGTTGTGGGCCTGGGTGACAAACAGATTTTTGTACACAGCTTAAAGACAGCATAAAAGTGGCCTATGGTGGTTTTTGAGGAGATTTTGAAATTTCTCAGAGTAAATAACCCTAAGTAGGTTAAGTGTTGGTGCATGAAGTTGCTTTTTAGAATTCTTATGCAACATATAAGTGATATAGCATAACAAGAACTTGTGGAGACTGCTTTTCTTTATATTCTACACAAAAAGAAATGGAAGATATTTTTAAATGGATAATTATCACTTGCCGTCGACGCCCCCTGTTCTGGTCAACAACTGAACCTAAATCATTGTACTGTTACATTTTACTCACACAGAATGATACAGCCACACTAAAAGAGGGGGAAGTGAGGTGCCTGCTCCTTCAATCTGCAGAGAGAAGCCCTGGTCTAATAATAGACATACCACACACACAGCAGCATCCACAACCACCACAAGCAGTGCCTCAGAATGGCTTGGAATGGTGTGTCTGCAGCAATTGTCAACAGATGCTTGCGTGCAGAATGTATCTGCTGTGGTCTGAAACCTGAAGATTGCCTTTCAAATGAACCAGTGCGTTGTTCCAACATCATAATTATAGCGCCCACAATGTTACAGTTATTTCAGCACGAAAAGTTGCCACTATTTGCATATTTTGCTGTCGTAAATTGTCGTTTCTGTGGCGACTCGTTGTTATCTGTCAGTACATGGCAGTACACCAACAAGCCAACTTTTCTCAGTGTCTTCCTTAAATGACATCACAGTAACAGTGCCAACGGCTGTCTGGAAGAGCATGGAAAAACAGAGATAGCACCAGGTACGACACAGAAAGCAAACAAAAACAAAACGTTTTTTAAAGTGATCATGTAAGCAAAGTACCAACCCAACTGATAAAATAGCTGGAAGTTGATTATAACGATACTTGAATGGAAAAATACTAAGTTCAGAGGTATTACGAACACAAACAAAATGTCACATTATGCACCCTAAATATTGTGAAAGACCAAAATAGAAAAGACGGCAAACCAAGCTTGGCTTAAAACAAGCTCTTCCATTACAGTGCATCCAGCCTACACAGGGATTTGTCAGTATTTTTGCCACACTCCCCAAAGAGAAAACTTGATAAAGAAAAAGAAAACTATGAAACTGCAATTCCAGCAGAGAGAAGAATGCAAATACAGGCTTTGCCAAGTGAAGTGGGCAAGCTCTTCCACCGCAGTGCATCCAGCCTACACAGGGATTTGCCACATTTCCTAAAGAACAGATAACTTGTTTGCCTGTACCGTAGGAATACACAGACTGTTAGCAAGTATGGCTTGAAGAGGTAGTATACCTCACAACTGTCTCTACTGTGCTGTTGTCAAATCTCTCAGCCTTGTGAATATACAGTTTCCATAAGATTGAACACACGAGCCAATAAAACAGCATTGTTCTTCATGTATACATTTAAAATGACATACAAAAAATTAGGATAATTTTTTAACCCTTCATTCTATGAAGCTAAAAGACCCATCGTTTTCTTGCATTTTCAACTTCAAATTCAAGCAATCAAAACAACTTTGAAATGTTATAGTCTTGCCCTACTGTAAAACAATACAGCTGAACAATATTACATACTGATGATTCTGATCACTTAAACTTTCATGTATGGGATCATGATTGTAAGTGACTGAGCATGCAGCTATGCCAAAGTCAGAATAATTTTTTGAGTAACAGTGTGTCGTGAAATTTGTGAAGTAAACACCTGTTGCATTTTATACCACAGTCGTGCCCAGACAGCTGCTGTTTGTGCATAACTTGTCACAGTGGTGATCATTTATGTACCTCCTTATCATGCAATAAACATTGTTATCAAAAAATGTTCTATGACAATTGTTTATAATTTAGCAAAGGGACTGATTTCATCTGCCACCGCTGCTCTCGGGTCAATTGAAGAACCTAGTGAAATGAACTGACTAAGGTATTCCTTAGCAAATTGTCATGCCTTGTTGATTGTGATCTTACAGCATTACAACTCTTGAGCTGAATAAAGATAATAAGTACCATAAAAAAAATTGCACAAAGTATACTCCATAACCAAGATATTTAGAATAAGAGTTCATATTCTTATTGCTTGGAATACTTCAGGTAAAATAACAAGACCCAGAAATTCCCCCAATGTTTCTTTCTCCAACATGGCTAGCGTTGACATGTATCTGTGTATCGTATCTCACACTTGCTAGCTTCAACACTGATCAAAACCTTAACTTTTCAGGACACTTCAGAAAGGCAATAACCTGAAGTCATTCTTAAGACATTACCCCATCTTGATCCCCAGCAGGTAGCATGGCTTTCTCTGGATGCGGCGTGGGTACAGACATGCTGTTCTCTACATCCATCACAGTCTCTGGAAGCTGCTTGTTTAAGCTCTCTGGGAGGGTCAGGTCTAGTAAGGCACTCAATAAGGCAATCAAGCCAAACACTAGGTAGGCCACCTTCTCTCCCTGTAAGAATGGACGGACAGACAGAAACACAAGGCACTTAGTATGGCAGGTGCTCCAAATGTTACACAGGTAACTACCTCTCCCTGTTACAGCCTTTGACAATGTAGTAAAGGTTGTGAGGGATCGCAGGCACATCCCAAGTCAGGTCACAAGTAAATTCACAATTCCAGTCACAAGTACCAAAGATGAACAATAACAAAGGAATGCCTTGGCAGTTCATTTGAAAAAAGCTTGTGAGTTGACTTGGCTGGATGACTTGTGATGTACTTGTGATGACATGTGATCACCACAGTTGCAAGTATTACAAACATCCCGAGGACAGGAAGACACATAGAGAACAACAGTCTCATTCTTGTATTGAACGTATGTACATCTTTTGTTGAGAACCTACTTTGAAATTTGAAAGTGTGTGTCACAATGTGTCTATGGAGAGTGTTATAGTGTAGGAACAAAGGGAAACACAATGCCTTGACCTCAGATGTAATGTTAAAGTATGACTCTGTGGTTTTGTGTGCTCAAAGTTGATGGCGTGCAAGAAGGGCAACTCAACCATGAGGCGGGAGACAGGCGGCAAAGCCGCTTCCTCCGAGAAGCAGGTTAGGTGAATCTTTGTTTGATGTACTATTCAGTTTGACAGCATGACAGCTGTGGCCATGACATGGGTCTTGGCAGTTCCCACTGATTTCAAATGTTCAAGATTTGTTAAGGGCTTACAAGTAAAACTCAACCTATAGAGCTACACTATATTACTAGAGCGCTAACTCCTCATTCTCCGCTGAGATACTTTGAAGCTGTCCAGAGTCTAGCCATTTTGACTTAATGTGCGTGTTTGTACAACATAATGATATTACATGGAGTAAATTTTTCAATGTGGACTCTAAATACAACATGGAAGTACAACATATGCAAACAACTTAAGCGCTTCATGAAAATGCCATGGCAAAAATTATCTGCAGCAGATACACGCACGCCTTTGTGTTGTTTGCCCATAGCACTCCTTTATTGATTGTGCGTTTCAATTTTTGGGCGTGCTGGCTTTAGATAACGCGCCTATTTAGCATACAAACACAGATATGTATGCAAATAGCCGTACAAAATCTGTACAAATTTTGAGCTTTCCACAGTTTGTGCACAAACATGGATGCACCCAGCAGGCATCATTTTGTACATCGAGTCAGCGCTCTAGTAATTTAATATAGCTCTATATTTTAACCCCAAATAAAAGACCTTATGTGCTGTAGTTGTCTCATAAGAGGGTGTTCCTTCTAAATGAATAATTAGGTTGCGGTACCCGCTACTATATCAGATTCGAACCAGCCAGCTGACCTCTGCAAACTCTCGGTGGTCTGCACTAGTAAGCAAGAGGTCATGGGTTTGAGTCCCACCCGAGTAGTTTGTGAATATTTCTCACAATCACTTGAGACAACACTGAGTGTTTAAAATACGTCGATGAGGGGCAAAACCTGAATTTTTTATTTCAATTTGGTAACAACGACCACACAAAAGGTTTTAATACTCATGCGTATCCTAGTGATAAAAATCACTGCCCTCTAACTCTGCCTAAATGCGTAAAGTATTAAGAATGAAGAAAAAAGAGAGCAATGTATGCTTACAAACGGAAGAAGGGTTGGAGCGATGACTCCGCCAAGACGTGCAGACATGGAACACACACCCACTCCTGTATTTCTATAACCATGGAAGTTTTTGAAACAAACGATGGTGTTTAAGGAAAGCTCTAAATAGCACAACTTATTTACAGCTTGTCTGTGGAGTCCTTGCTTGTAATGTAGCATGAAACAGACCCAAGTCCTAATGATGTTACGCTTTGTTTACATGTGCGCTTTCTAGTATGAGAGCCAGGTGGGACGCGCCTGGCTTTCATAGAAAAACCTACATAAATAATGAAAGGTTTGCAGAAACACCATGTGCGAAGTGCTCTCCTGAAGACGGTCAGAGCATACTGACCGGAACGTCGAGTTTATACCTCTGGTTCTTTTCAGAACCATTCTCTTAGTTGAGAAATTATTCGCATTTGGTGTTTCCGCAAACCATTCATTATTTAGTATCTCCACCATGCAAAGCCTCAAATCTTACTTAAAAACCTACATGTAAAAAAGTGGGACAACAGGCCCCTTGACCATATTGTATTTCCAATGACATATCAATGAAGGTCAGTTGCTTTAGAAAATCATAGGGACCAAATGTTACAGATATTTGAATCGCATATGGTACAAATCACAGGGTTTATAAAGATTTTTGTTTGTTTTCATTTTCTGAAATATTTAAAACGCTTATGTTATGGCAAAATACATGTTATGGCAAAATATATGTTATGGCATCAAACGACACAGTCACTTGATGACATAGCAAACATTTATTGTGGCTGTTGTTGAACAAAGTGAGGTATACAAAGTGCCAGCACATTTAGATGAAAATAATTCTGAATCATATGTAATCTGCACTTTACTGGGGCTGTTATGAGAATGCTACAGAGTGGCATCTACTGCTCAGGTGCAGAGTCAATAGTTAGGTTTTGTATAAAGTGCTTACCTGAGAACCGTTGGCAGCAGCTCTGCGGAGTAGAGATATATTGAGTTGAATGCAATGGATATGCCCATCTTGCCAATAAGTGCGAGGCAGGTCTGTGTGCTAGACATGGTACCGCCTGTTGAAAGAAATCACACCATGTCATCAATTGTGGTTGTGTCTCAAGAAATTGTTAACGGTATGAAAGATGCATGTTCCTGAATGCTAATCAAGTACAGACCTTATATGCAAAGTGACCATCTTCAAGGGCATCTTTTGTTACCTTAGTTCAATAACAATAAATGTACGACAGGTTCATTCAAGCACATCCCAGCACGACAAAGGCATTGCCCTCTAAGATGGATGCTACGCATAAGGTCTATTATATCAATAATACAGAAGACACAATGAGTGGTACATGTAGCGGAAAGTTGGAGAAATGGCAATCAGTGATCACTCAGATGGGCTGCAGCTTTTTATGCTGAATCAACAAGTGCATCACAAAGGGTAACTGACTAGGTTCAATTTTAATCAATAGGTCTCGTTCAAATGACGTCATTTCCTACAGACCATCCACATGCATCGGCATTTTGAGCGTCAACTGGCATAACGCGCATCAGCTGCGTCGTATTTCGAACACATTTCGAGCAACAAGCGCGTGTTTGGAACATTTTCAACACTGCGCAATGTGTGCTTGATTGCGTAAAATACGCAGTTGCACTTCTATGGAAATGGCCGTCATTGAAAGAGCCCTATATAAGGTTGCAGGACAGACCGATCCATGAAGCCTGTCCCATAATGCATTGTCCAATCACAGCCGTGATTATGTCCGACATGTGTGCAAGGTCGCACAGACTTTAACACATGTAGCCCCGTAAAACAAAAATTGACAACTCCTTACAATCAAATGTAGTTTAAAACAGCTAAGAACACACTTTTCTAACGTAAACAATTTGCAACGTACCATCTGACTTGTGCAAAGACATGACTGCTAGGCAAGCAAAACCAGCGACAAACAAGGAGCCTGCCGTGGTGGACCGGCGACCTATCCTGAAATGTGAAAGACATAAACACAAGCAGCATTTTTGGTTATGACCATTCGTGAATTCAAGTAAGCTCCTTGTCACCTCTTTTGCCCTAATTCCTGCCCAAATCTGCCAGGGGAAACTCCTAAAAAAGGTACAGATAACAAAGAACAACCCAAGAGGAAATTGGTTGACAAAGATGTTTTAAATCTTCTCGATTTGGGCGATGAAAATGACGAGAAAGGAGACCTTGACAGCGATTGCAGACCTTCTGAATGCTGATGGGCGTAATATTTTCCCAGTATTTTTCGTTGCCATATAAGCCTATGCAAGGACACATTTTCCAATTTAACTAAGTGGAAGGCATATATTTCTATAAAAAAAAATCCATTTCCAGTCTCATGAAATAGTGAGTAAATGATTGCCTGCAATATAAAGGAAGTGCCTCAAAATTCATAAATTCTGCACCAAAACCACACTATGTGTGTCATTTTAGGTCGATTACTATGACAACCATAAATGCATGCAATTGCTTTCTGAGGTGTTTTCTCATGAAATGAGAGTCATATTTTGTAGTAGTGCATTCAAAAGTCTCCTAGCAGTTTGTTTTCATACATTTTTGGCAGAAAAATCCACACACACAAACATGTAATCCACCCAAAATTTGGGTTTTTTAAATGGCCGCCATTGAGAGGGGGTTCATATTTGGACTTTTGTTCAATCTGTTTTATTGCCTAGCTCACAAGCTTTCAGTTGGTATATAACTTACCAAGACTTAATAAAGAAGACTAATGAAAATAGTCCAAGAATTCAGCTTAGTCAAAAACCTCAAAATTAGGGCTGAGTTTAAAGGGTTAAGTGAGTTCCTCCAAAAGTTGGCATTGGTCCATGTTTTTCTTGAACAGTTATAGCGTGTCATTTTTTATTAAGTTACACCAGCATCCGACTTACCAATTTAAAGCGTATACACTAATCAAGTTGGCAGGTATTTCGACAAATCCAGACAGTGCAAAGTTGACATACATGCTGCCTCCTAAGCTGCTGGCACCAAACGTTAGGCCATAGTATGCCAAACAACAACTAAACCTGGAAAGAGAAAATGGAATATCAGTAAATGGCTGAAAATGATTGTACATGACAACGGAGCTACTTCATTACCTGTGCTGTAGTTAAGTTTGGGTTCCAGGAAATGTTATCAGCAAAATCAGACTTGAAGTCCATATAAGACAAAAATTGGAAAAATGGGTCGAGCCCTGGCTACCAATAAAGATGTAACTATGCATTGCACGATTCAGGTTCATCATGTTTTAAACCAACAATGTCCTACATCTCTTGTTTGGGATACTGCTGTATCTGATATTCAACAGCCATCGTGCAATGGTCTCCGAAATTTTGTACCAAACAAAGAGATATAAGTCATTTTAGGGTTTATGGTATCTTGACCAACACAGTGACGTTCAGAGATGAAACAGCATCATGGGTTTCAGAACCCAGTCTACGTTCAAAAATGTCTTAACTTAAAGTCACATTTCCAATAATGAATTTGTTTTAAGTTTTGGACAAAATAGACTGCAAATCCACCTTTTCAGTGTGTTTTGACTTTAATACAACTCCAATCCATACTACGACAATGATGCAGAAATTAATAGTGTTTCCTGCCTTTTCTTTCAAAATGAGTGAATTCAATATGTCGTTAAGCCTAATCCGCTAAGCCCTTTTCGATAGGAACCACCCTCAATCTTTCAAAATCCTCCAAAATGTTGCACTTATTCAAATGAAGGATATCTAGCGCCTCATACTTCAAAATCGTCAGACAGTCCTGCCTCTCAAAATCCATTCATCCTCATTTCTCCAAAATCCTCCTGCTCTTCAAACACCATTCATCCTCAATTCTCCAAAATCCTCATATTTCTCAAACATCATGCATCCTTAATCCTTCAAAACCCCCAAAACGGCAAGAGGATTTTGGAGGATTGAGGTGGGTTAGTGTTAAATTAAGGGATAAACAGATAGTTTTCTAAAAAATGTTCAAGATTAGAACCAATAAAGATCCCAAAGTGGAAAATCGTGAACATGTAACCGTGAAAACTGACACAATGGGGATTAACTACTCAAACTTTAGTCAGGATCTTTGAAAGGAACGGTCGCGAGGGAATTGAATTAATAGAGACAAAGGGACACAATTTTAGATTTCAAACCAAAAGGACCTAACTGAATTTATTTACAGAAAAACCTTAAACCAAAAACCAGAACTAAAAGCAAAGAATAAAACCTTAACAAACAACTAAAACCCTAAAACTAAAACCCCAAAACTTCAGAACTTAGGGGTCGTTCAGACACCGTTTTAAACCGACACCGTTTGTCAAAAACTCTAAACAAAACCAAGGCATTTCAAACTTTTAAATGCTAAATAATACACTTAATGATAAAATACAAAAAAAACCACCAAACATCAAAATTCGCCAATGACTCTAGCAGAAAAACACTAACGCAGGGCAAGGCACACCCAAGAAATATCAAGGGGAAAGAGAGGCTCAAAAATATAATGTTCTCTTGCCGCTGGTCTGCTACTGCAGGTGTACTGAGGGGTCTGTGGTCTTAGGGTGGCAGGGCATATGTTCTTGGGGGAAGGGAACCAATGGCATGAGTCTAATTTACACACAATGTGGACTTGTTACTGGGGAAAGCTTATCAGGGGGAAACACTACTATGAAAGGGTTGGGGACATCTAATCTAATAAAAACGCTGGATTTCCTCAGGGGGCTACTCCTATACTAAAGCATACAAAAATACATTGGAAAAATGCAAGTTAAATTTGGCCCTGCCACAAACGCACAAAACTCCTTGAGACAATTTTATGGAGCATCTTTAGCAGACAACACTGCTGAGCAACTTTGTTTTTTGTTAAGCAAAAATTGGCAGTGCACCAGGTAACACCAAAATACACGACATGGCATTTTGGCCATAACCTGACGGTGCTCAATTTATCTCTTGTGTGTGTGGCAGGGCCAAGTTTTACTTGTAGTTTTTACTGTATTTTTTGTAGTGTTTTAGGGTAGGAGTAGGTCCCCTGAATGAATCACCTTTTTTATTAGATGTCCCCTACCCTTTCATAGTAGTGTTTCCCCCTGATTAGCTTTCCCCAGTAACAGTTCACATTGTATGTAAATTGTTCCCATGCCATTGGTTCCCCCTGTCTCAAGACCATGTGCCCTGCTCACCCTGTAAGACCACAGACCCCTCATGATCAGTAGCAGACCAGCGGCAGTAGAGAGAGGACCGTGCATTTTATTACCTCTCTTTCCCCCTTGATTTTCTTGGGTGCGCTTTGCCCTGTGTGAGAGTTTATCTGCTCGAGTTATTGGTGAGTTCTGATATATGTTTTTTGTATTTTCTCATTAAGTGTATTATTAAGTTTTTTTAGAAGTTTTGATCTGTTTTGGTATTGTTCAGAGTTTTGACAATCAAGTTTTATAGAATTCCTGAACAGCCTTGTAAGTTGTAGGAATTATCACTTGAAGTTTTGAGATTGGGTTTATTTAGAAATTACTTGAAGAAAGTTAGCTTGTATTGTTTGATTTGATTGATCAGGATCGTTAGACATGTTAGCAGCCATTCCATGGTGACTCGCGTGACATTTGAACAAAATGTAAAGTTTTAATACATTACTGTTGTTAACCTGGCATTTATTCAACTCAAATTAGCATGTATTTGAGTCAGGGCATTGTGAATTTATGGTTTAGTCTTTATATGATTACTTTAAAATCGCTATTTTTTCATGTATCACAGTTTCTTTGACGTGACTCGCATGACAGGATAGAAAAAGGGATTTTTGACATCCCTTGATTCAAATAGCTTTTCCTATGGATCTACCAGTGTTCTAAAAATTATTCTTACAGAACTTAGAACTTAATACCCTCACCCAATACATGCATAAGTTGTATTGTGCCAAATATCCCTTGTTGTAAGAAATGGCCTGAAGAAAATGTGACTCGCGTGACACAAATGCGTGACTCGCGTGACACAGTAGCTTTTCACTTTCACATTATAACTGTAATTTTAGTATAACGAATCAAATCATAATATTATATTAATAAAAATGATTTACCTGTGAATACCTCATGAAAGAGTGTGAAAACTGCTATTTATCCCTTTACTTTGGCAAATGTTGGGGGTGGAAATCTGGTTTAAAGGGAATATACAACATTTGCAAACATCGAAAAACAAAATTACCAAGTTTTTGCGAAATACCTTAATAGGATGTTGGTAAATGACAGTCTAAAGCATCCTGTAAAATTATGGCACCTGGTATACTGTCATTTTCAAGAAAAGTGGTATTTTTGTATCAATTTCCAACGCTGATCGGCCGATCAGCGTTGGAAACAACTGGCTTTTTTTCAAATACCGGCCCCAATTGACCATTGCACTTGTTTGCAATCGATTACAAACCTATGAACGGGTACGAGCCAGCTAGACTGGTTCCCTGACCTTACAATTCCCCAATGTATGTAAACTGCTCTGTTTCTTCTTATATGGAGTCAGGGAACCAGACTACAGGAAAATGATCGTTTTTCTTGGTTTTTATAGCATTTTCAAACCCAAAACCTTCAAAAAGTCAGTGCATCTATATTTGCTTTATATTTCCAACCCCCCAATTCCATCCATTTCTGAAAATTACAGCAAAAGCAAATGATGTATATTCCCTTTAAACACAATATCCTTAACAATGACATAGAGAGAAAAAAATGTTTTGGAATTTTAGTTACGAAGTGATGTCATCAATCCACGGGTGATTATTTTAGGAAAACAGTTGTAATTCTTGGTCATGTAGAGTCACAGTTTCCTTAAATGGTAAGATCGAGCTGCAATTAATGATGCAGTTGTATCGGAATGTATACAGTACAGTCGAATCTCGTTTGTACAAACTCTGTTAAAATTCTGGTTATAACAAACATAAAGCCTTAGTCCCGACTGTGCATTTATGTGCACAATGAATGGGACTGATGTTCCTCTTAGTACAAAATTCTGATATAACAAACAATTTGGCTAGGTCCGAACGAGTTTGTATTAACGAGACTCAACTGTATATACATTTGTAAAAACTGATTCAATTTCTTGTTCCATAACTAATGCTTTTAAAGACTTAATTCGAATTCTATAATTTAATAGGGCCTATGGCATTGTTTCTTTGTATTACATGTAAATGAAACATTCCTGGCTTGTGACCAGGCGCGGATCCAGAGGTTTTTTTTGGGGGTCAACCCCCCCCACCCAGCTCTGTCAAAAAAGGGGGTCAACCCCCCCCCCCCCCCCCCCCCCCCCCCCCCCCCCGCGTGACACCCCCAAAACATTATACTGGTCTAATGTCCGCTTGTTCAAAATACGGTACACCATTCTGTAATGTGTTAATAATCGTCGAATTTGAACAGCGCCCCCGATTGAAATTGGTACCAGCCCCCCCCCCCCGTCCCCCGCCCCCCCTCCCCCCCCCCCAGTTTTTTATTTTACGGAAGCGAGTGTCCAGAGAAAAAAACGTGTGTACATTTTTCAAATTTTTTGGCTGATGAAACCCCCCCCCCCCCTGCGAAAATTCCTGGATCCACCCCTGGTGACTCGCGTGACATACATCATGTGTGACTCGCGTGACATTCTTGAGATCGTTTTTTCTACAAGGAATGTAGAGCAAATAAGAATATTCATACTTTTATTGATAGACCACCACTATTTCATTTACAAATATCAAACACTAGCTGAATCCCTCTCTAGTTATTAAGTAATCTGAAAAAAGTCCTTTTTTGTGACTCGCGTGACATATTTTTGAGGGTGTTTTCACGATGAAATAGTGGGAAAATACTGAAGACATTTCGAAAAATTCTCAATGTTTTATCAAATAGACTGGAATAGCTACCAAATGTATGAAGATAAAGCACAATCTTATGAATGAGCTTCAATTACTTCCTCAGTTTGTGATTTATACCCCTGACCCTCCGTTTCGCCCACAAAATTCATCCATGTTCAGGAGGCTGAAATTTTAATTCAAATGATTTATTTTAAAAAATCTTTTGAGATTTAGATGGTTTCAATATTCCTCTTATCAAATATAACTGACAAAAATTTATTCCTTTCACTTCAATTTTTGAGTTTGGTGATGACCCTTACATGGAATGGCTGTTAGAGTTCTGTTATTTTCGAGGAAAACTGTGTTGTCAGAAGTTTGATTTATTTCATTGACTTAATTTCCGAGGACTGACTTGGATAGATGCATTGCATTGCCTTTTTCTTTTGACATCTGATTTCAGTATTTTGGATGGTGTTTTCTTCATTACCTTTATTGTTTTATTGTACATGTATAAAGCCAAGATGAGTGGTTTTCCCACAGACTTCTTACTGATTAGTTTGCCATGTTTATTCATTAGTTAGACTTGTCCAAGCTGTTCATTTACTGTAGACTTGCATTTCCTTTATTTTGTATTTAGCCACCTGTTTCATTTAGTTATTCTTATCTGCTTTGGACCTGTTCAAGTTTACTGTTCAGGAATGTTGAATTACCCCCTTGGTGATTAGTCCCACCTGGCATTCAGAAGACAGGGACCACTGTTTATCTTGCTCATTAGGTATTCACGAGAAATTTTAGTGTTCTTGGCAAGACTGTATAGTAGTTCCACATGGCATTGTTTATATTACTTTAGACCTAGTGTAGCTTGAGTTGTTTGCATTGTTTACTGTTTCTTATTATGTTCTTTACTCTCTTATCTTGTTTTACAGATTTTCTGCCAGAAGTGTCTTTAAGGTCTACTAATATACACACTGTGTTGGTTTGAGTCTTTGGTTTTAGGTTTAAGTTTTTGGTCTTCATCTTTTGTTTTGATTTTGATTTGAAGTTCTTGTAAATAAATTCCTTTTGTTTTTTTGTTCGAAATCTAGAATTGTGTCCCTTGTCCCTATTAATTCAGTCTCCTCGCGCCTTTTCTCTTCAAAGATCCTGAGTTTAGTTTGGTTAGAATCCCCATAGTTGTATTAGTTTTTCTCAAACCATATCCGGCCAAGTTGCGGGTAGAATCATTCACTTTGTCCGGAAGAAACTCTGTTTTTGTTCCAAGGAACTTTTCATTCGCAACTGTTTAACTTATCAAGACTGATAACTTCATTGCGGGAAGATTGCAAGGAAGTTATTCAGAATCCTGCAACTTTTACCCGATACAATGTCTGGAAGAAATGAAGTGAGACCATAGAGCTATATTAAATTACTAGAGCTCTAACTCGCCATTCTGCGCGCGGAGATGCTTTGAAGCCGTCCTGGGTGCAGACATTTTGAATTCATGTGCATGTTTGTAGAACATAATGAAATTAGATGGATTGAATTTTGAAAGTGTACTCTAAATGCAACGCGCAAGTAGAACATACGCATACAACTTAAGCGCGTCATTGACGGTTCAACAAAATGTGATGGCAAAAAGCATCTGCAGCAAATACGTGCACGCGTTGTGCTGTTTGTGTAGAGCAAAATGACACGCTCATTTGCTGATCGTGCGTTTCGGTTTTGGGTGTATTGGCTTCGATAACGCACCGGTTTGGAATACAAACGCAGATATGCAAATAGCCATACAAAAGCTGTACAAAATGTATAGGTCTCCATAGGTTTGTGCACAAACATGGATGCACCCGGCGGGCATTACTTTGTACAAGAAGTTAGTGCTCTAGTAACTATTAATATAGCTCTATGAGCGAGACGGACCCTTAGTAGAATCCTGTGCTTAGAATCTCTATGAAATTGTCTCCTAGGCATTTCTTGTGACAGGGAGCAATGCAAGATAGCTAGCTTACCATGTGATCATGAGTATAATCATTCTCCGTCTGAGCACGGGAGTGCGGAACAAGTCCAAGGTGCCTGCTGACGTCTTTCCCTTGGTGTCTTCCCTCTTGTCATTCAGAGTGATCGCCGTGGGGCACGGCCTGACTCCGTTCTTCCTGCTGAAACCCAGCAGCTGGTCCTCTGCCTCTGTCCTACGTCCCTGGGAGGCCAGCCATCGAGCTGATTCTGGTATTACCCTTAAAATTACAAATAGAACAAATAAACAAAATAAAACAGGACGGGGCTTGTAATTCAACATTGGCCATACATTTTTTTAGTGAAGAGCTTGTTAATTGATAGCATTTTTTTAAAGAGAAGAGCGTGTTAATTGATACCATTTTGGGGATACAAGCACCAAGTGATTGATATGCCATCTGTACCTACCAGTGAACTCTGTTGTCTGTTGATGGAATTTAACTGGTCAGTGTTTACACAAATGAGATTTGTTTTACTAGCCTGAGTACAAATACATATCAAGGGAAGTGGAAGAAATGTTTGACATTCTGTGAATGATCAAACAATAGGAGTTGAAGTGATTATTAAAATGTTTCTGAGATTGAGGAAGAGCAAAGTAAAAAAAAGGATATTGGGTACATCCAAATTACTATGTCGTGTTTAGTCAAACCTACAGCTCATTCATTTAATTGGATATAGGAGATGAACAATTCTTAGTTCTTACAGTGGGACAATGATGATGGATGCCATGGGTATAGAAGTCACCAAGGTCAACTGTCTCCAATCCCGAACAAAATATGCCATCGCTGCAAGATACTTAAGAGAATAACGCACACAAAATCAGTGAAGACATAAACATGTATCATTGCCAAATACACACTCTATCATCAGGGTTTAGAATATTGTCAACCTGGGGTTTCTGCTGTCCTACGATGTCAAGAATGACTTGAGGCGTCTTTCCTTCCAAGGTTCGGTACTATTCATCAACATTAAAGTTTAAGGCCAAAAATGAATTGTTGTGTTGCCCTCATCTGACCGACCCAAAAATCTGGTACTATGGGAACCAGGTACGTGAAAAAAACATGGGTACCTGGGTACCAGAACCCCAACCCCAAAGTTTAATCTCAGAAGTTGCTGTTCAGATTGTTCATAAAGGTCTGTATGATAATACTAACACATGGCGTGTCAATACACCATGATATATGTGTGTACAGTGAGCTTTTTAGCATTATGGTGTACACTGCAACTTTTGCAAGCGTCATAAACATGAGATGTGTTTCGTGTTTCCACGCAGCCTGGTTTTCATTTAAACAATTCTCCACAAATTGCTTGGATACTTGTCTAAGGCTTAAGGAGCAAATCAATCCAATCCAAACAAAATGTGATTCAAACTATTACTGCCATTTAGGTTAAGTGTCACTAAAGCTAGTGTCAGCAAACTTTATTTTCCAACACCTAGCGGGTTCAGTGCGCCCTCAATTGACATATTTTTGAGAAGGGCTTCATTATACAGTCAGGTTTCGAAATGCATACAAAACGTTTTGGAGTGTTTTCATATAGGTGATGTTGTAATAGTTAACTATTCAAAATCAGAAAGAGGCGCTATGAAGTGTTTTCAGAGAGATAATGTTGTAATATTTAACCATTCAAAGTCTCAAAGAAACAAATTTGCCAAAAAAGTGAAACAAAACAAATAAGTCAGTTTTTCCTGTACCAACAGTGACTTCAAAAGACAGTGAAATCAGTGCATATTAATACCACTTATGGACCTCCATCTACTGGATGAGCGCAAAACCAGAGTTTTTAGGCCTTTTACAAAAAATGTGACACACAGACATCAGACAGACATCAGACAGACAGACATCAGACAGCGTAGGATCTTTTAATATGGGATTGTCTTCATAACTTACTTCCTCGTGCTTTTTATCTATAAAGTTGGTTTGGTTTCAGTAAATAAATACAATAGAACACACCACCATGAAATCAGCTGCATTGGAGATAAAAGTTAGAACCTTTTCTACCAGCTGCAACCCCGTGGCATTTATGGTTTAACATCTTTTCTTTTTCGTTTTTCAACAAATAATTTAGCATGAGATGTTTGACTCTTTCAAAATAAAGGAATGACCGGAAAAATACAAGTTACAATTTGGATGAAAGTGGTGTACCAAATTCAAAAGCCCCCATAAAATGCCTTTAAGCTTACCAGAAGAGACAAGGAACAGCTGCAGTTGAAGACGCTACTGAAGAGAGCCGATTTCTTGGGCAACAGTCCCTCCAGCATCAGTATGTAACCTGCAAGACCAGCGCCTCCATAGAAGAAACCACCCCAAAACCTACAAAGATCAGAATATTATTACAACTGATTTTTGTTTGAAACCTAATTTGATATGAGGCATCATTATTATCTAAGGTTGTGATAATCAACCCTAACTCCCTATGCATTTTTGCTAGGGTGCAACCTCAATCCTACAAAATCCTCCAACTGCCTCCATGTAAAAATGGCATATAGCCTCAATCCTGCAAAATCCTCCATTATTTCTTGCATAGGGTCCTTGGATGGGTGACCACTGCCTCAATCCTGCAAAATCCTCCGGCAGTCCATTATGTTGAGGCAGAGCCAGTGACATTCTGGAGCAGTGCGGAGGTTGCCCAAGACCTTGACACAGTGCGTCCTCCAAAATCAGCAACACACTTTTGCCATGTGGCCTCAATCCTGCAAATTCCTCCAATTTGCAAAGAGGATTTTGGAGGATTTGGGATGGTTAGGTTAAGCATGACGTAATATCCACAAGGCCTGGCCCAAGACCTTGACACAGTGCCTTCTGCAAAATCACCTGCACATTTTTGCCATATAGCCTCAATCCTGCAAAATCCTCCCTTTAGCGAAGAGGATTTGGGAAGGTTAGGGTAAAAAAACAACAACAAAGACATAGCCCATTCACCTTGTGAAGGCATACTGGTAAATGTCCTGAGTGAAAGCCGAAACAAGCTGGATGACCACAAGGGCAATGGTTCCCCAAAAGAAGGTCCTACGTCGGCCAAACTTGTCTGACACCCGGCCAATTGCGACCACTCCAATCAGGTAGCCAAACATGAGAACCGACTGGGCATAGCCGGCATCTGCCTTGTGCTCACATACAAGGTCCCACTATTAAAAGTAGAGATAAAATAAAACAAGATTTGTCAACACATTGCGATCATTTGGTTCATAAGCGAAACCCAGGTGCAGCAAAAGATGCAAAATAAGTTCAAACAATTTTTAATTTTACCTACTCTTCGGTCTTCCATAACGCGAAAATGAGGTTCTCAGTAGTGTCACAAGCTAAAGTTTCAAGTCTCAATTTGAATGTTTAATCGTAACCCCTTGAGTGATTTACCATTTTTTCTGACTCTTCAGTCTTCCATAATGCAAAAATACAGTTCTCGGCATTTTCACCAGCTAAGTTTCAAGATTCAATTCACATTTTTTAACCCTTTGAATGGTTTACTAGGAATCTCCCTGACTCTTGCAAAATCCAACACCGCATGGTTAAGTCCATATCCTGTTGACTCTGATTATGGTGCTATGCCTGACCCCAATCAAACTAGTGCAGTACTCACTCCAACTTATTCCAACAAAACATGCAGTTGAATTTTGAAGGGTTGCGGTGGTTAGGGTTGAGAAGAGTTTAGTTGTGTTTTTTTTTTTAAAGTTGCACTAAGTTGGAAGTCAAAATGACTTACACTGTAAGTTTGAAGTCTATAAAAGACTAGACATGCTAGTTTACTGGAGCTTGTTAGCCAATAGGACAGCATGTTACATGAGCCTTTGGTCCATTTTCTTCAGGTAAAAAAATAATATGGCAACCATTTAATAGGCTACTTAAAACAAAATGTTTAGCTTTTTTTTTTTTTAGAGAGAACAGCCAAGGAAGAACTAATAACTAAACCACAAAAATTGTTGATTGTATGGGAAAGTTTTCCACACTAGGCCTCAACTTTAGCTCCCGCCAAACACATCAATTTCCACCTCACCTTGTGATTTCACCCAAGACGAATCCAGGAAGCTCCGGCAATGCGAATAATTTTTAGGAAAAATGTGTTTATAGAGCACATTTTGGATGCACAAGTTGTGCAGAACTATAGTTGGAGGCACCCGGCCATAGTGATTGATGTGACTGGAAGTCTAGCGGTACGTTACGCATGACATCGATGACGCATGAGCAGCCCAATGACAGTGCAATACGTCATTATGAATATGTAATTTCTCATACATATTTAGTTTAATTAATATTCATTAGTCTATTTCAATGAATACTTTAAATATGTCCAAATGTCAAACTCTATGAAGTAAGTGACTGATTAATAAATAGGAATAAAGGAAAGGAGAGGGTGAGAGTAGAGAAGGGAAAGTGGAGGGAATAACCATAAAGGATGCAACTGTTTTGCCCTTGAAAATTAATTGAAATAAGTGGAGGTCTAGTATTGAAACTTTCCATTGCATGCTAGAACACATCACCTCAGACACAATGGACGTAAAGTTTTTGCTGTACAGGTATTCCTTGCAGGGTGGTGTAAGTTTGCAGGGTCGCTGCCCCCGCCGCCCCTTGCAGATGAATGTTGGTTCTTTCCCAACAAACGCCAGTAGAACAATGAACGGTGTCTGGAAGAATTGCATGAGGAAGAGCAGAAGAAAGTGGATGCGTTGGATGAATCCAAATCCTCCCACCTTCTCCAGAGCATCGTCAAAGTCCAACTTCATGCTGATGTAGATGATGAAAACGATACTTTATGTCTTCACTTTATGTCTTCACATCAAACAGATGAACCTGAATAAAAAAATTGGGGGAAACCGTTAATGAGAGATCAATGCAGTTCAGTCCAATGTATCAAAGAAAGTTTTGAGATATTTTGTCTCAAACATTTCTCACGCAGCACTACTTGTACTTCACAAGTGTTATCTTGAAGTGGATAGGTCATTTGGGGCAACATTAGCCCCATAAATGTGGCCTATTTACTGGACTGCCTCCGTAAACATAGGCCACACATCCACATGTACAAAAATCGTGTCGACGGAGCCAAATTTTGATTTTCACATTTAGGCTTAGTTTGTAGGGTTTTTTTGCTTTAGAAGCATACTCACCCTCTTTACAGGCTAATCAGAAAGTGCTGCCAATGACAATTTACAATATTATGGAGAGTCAAGAAAATTCCTAACAAAATTGGAAATATTTCTCAATCCCAGATTCATCATGTCTTATATTTTTTGCATTGAGATGATATCAGAACACAACGGCAATGTCAAACAACAATTTGAAATTTCCAGAATTTCGTTATATGGATCACAACCTGATTCGCACATCCACCGTCATGGTCTGACAATGCCACGCCATCAACTGAGCGGGGTTGTTCGTGTTGTGCCCATTCTTGAAAATCACGCATTCTCGAGAATGGGCATGCACATTCTTGAGAATGTGCAACTGGATCCTTGCTCAATCTTGGCAAAAAATAACTCTTCCAGATTGAGCGCACATTCTCGAGAATGCGCGACAAGATAACGGTCTTGTCGATGCCGAGCACCGGCTGCGCTTGGCAAGTCTAGCTGAATCCTCGTTCACTGATTCTCAATAATTATACTGTTGCAACGCAAGGCGCTGAAAAGTAGAGTGGATATGATAAGCATGGAGCGTATTAATATGGGGGGGGGACCGGGAAAATATAAGAGACATAATAATACTAGTGCAAAGAATTCTGATTTTTGGGACAATAAAAGCGGGGGGAATGAAGAATGTGAAGAATGAGAATGAATACTGCGACATCCCATAGTGCTAATGCTATTTCCCATTTAAATTGCCACCAATTTATTGTTCACATCCCACCATAACGTCGCAGAGCTGGATTCTATCTAGTCAAAAGAGCAATTTTGGCAGCTTCTGGACATCGTTTTTTTTCGTGGCACGCATATGATACATGCAGGGACTTGTAACTTGTCTAGCCTAAACAAAGCACTTCCCAGACTAGTTCCCAGTCCTCCGTTATTACAAAACTTCCCATAGTGGGCAGAAAAAAGCAATAATAACATGTTTAATTTGATTCAAATTATCGTAGTTATACGAGTACAGAAGCATAGCACATTTTCTTCCCTCTTTATATGAATTGTTTCCCTTTTAACCGCTATACAATTTTTTTAACATAATTATGTCGTGCAATGTTTGTTAAGATTGGGCAAAATTCATAAATTGTGCACGTGATATTCCCACCCAATCTTAAGAATGAGCGCTCATTCTTAAGAACGCGTGCTCGTTCTTAAGAATGGGCGCTCATTCTTAAGAATGCGCGCCCGTTCTCGAGAATGTGCATGCCCATTCTCGAGAATGCGTGATTTTCAAGAATGGGCACAACATTGACCAAATACAGCGCCCTCAGTCGACGGCAACGGCCGGCCGATTGGCATGATCAGTGTGCGACTGCGACATACTGCTGTGATCCCGGATGAACAAAAAACTGGTAATTGTCACATTTTTGTTTGACATTTTAACAATTTCTACTCACCCTAGAAGTACCTTTCCACATCAAGATAATATTTGTGAAATACTGAGGCCGAACATTTCGTGACAGGAGAGTTTGGAGGTCAGAAAAAAAATTGAGAAATTTCTGCAGTCCACACCGTGGACCACAGTCATTGACACGGAAACAGGTCAACTCGTACGCGAACCAACTCGTACGGGAACCAACTCGTACGCGAGACAACTCGTACGCGGATTGGTCAACTCGTACGTGAACCAACTCGTACGCGTGCCAACTCGTACGCGAGCCAACTCGTACGCGAGACAACTCGTACGCGATCCAACTCGTACGCGGGCCGAAATAGGAGTGGTTTCGAGGATTGGGTTGGCATGGTTGGGAAGAATTCGGGAATAGTGTGACGGAAGAATCGGGTAGTCCGTAGTTCAGTGTGTGACCGTTGTGTGTGATTGGGAGTGAACCCGTGAATGATGATAATAAAGTAGGCCTAACTGATATTCGGGGTTTTTTTAATCAATGTACCTGTCAGTCATTTAATTGCCACCATTGTCAAACTGACCCAATTGCAACGCTCTGGACTACCATGGATCTGTTCTCGCGGTTCGGTGTCCTAAAAGAACCGGCGGGTTTAGAAGTCGGCATCCTTCAGCACCCACTTTGTATCGTAAAACCAATCAAAAGAGATCGATCAGACTTGTCAACTGCCTGTAGTGTCACTCAACTTTCATTGTGGTTCACAACCATTGATCAATTAAAAAGCAGACACGCGGGGACATCCGTAGGCCTAGGAATTTCTGTTTACAACTGAAATGCTTGGTATAACCATGGAGGTGTAACACATAACACATCAGGGTTCGAAATTAGCGGTATAGCCCGCTAACCAAATGCTTGTCAAAACAGCGGCGGCCGGGGCTAGACAAACTATTCCTTAACCAGGCCGGCGTGCGAGTGAAAAATTATTGGGATATGGCAAAGATCAACAAACAGAAAGAAAAAAAATCATAAAATTCAAAAAGGAAACCCCTTTAATTTGTGTCTAGTTATCAACTGTTTTAAAGGGTTAAATTATCTGATCTGTTAATCAAAAACACCGACAAAATTCCCTTAGAATAGCGCTTGAAAATACGCCATTTTGTATCTCAGATAAGAAAAAAATGCGGGCTAGTAGAAATGCCCGTGGGCCAGTAGCCCGGCTGGCTAGTGAACAAAAAAAGTTGAGGTCAAACCCTGCACATTCTGCCTCAATGTAATTGTTCTCTCCTTTTTTTATTATTATTGTTCTTCCCCAGCCTTCCTTGCCCTCTCCATTTTCATTTCCTCTCCTTTTTAATTCTATCCTTTGAGCCATTTAAAATCTGTTTGCAGCATAACAAAATATATGATGGCCAGTATTAATTTGGTGCGATGGTCCGGAATAAAATGAAAACTATTTTTACGAGGTAGAAAAAGATGAAAAAAACATCGTGTCCATCATTATTTTTCTCTTGATTTCAAAAATGTCAAACTGTTATCTAACTTCAGTGCTTTCCCCGAGTCCACTCCACCCTATGCCTAGTGCGCTTTCCCGCTGCCTCAGAAAGCCAACAGCTAGAATCACTGAAGTGTGATTGTGACGCCGCGTACGTGTTATGTTGCGCTCGAGCGCCGGACATCTTTAATCTATTAGGAGTATTGCTTCGTAAACATGGTAACATGGGTGTGTTAAAGCTTTCATGTTTGCCGCTAGTATAGTAGCAGTTTTGTTGGTATCTTTTATCAATTAGGGGTATTATGTTGTGAGCTCATTCTGGCTCTTAAATTTCACTATATAAACCAGTACTGGGAACGTAGTCAATCAGTTGTATCAACTACCCCAAGCTATCAAGACGTTCCTGGTTCCAGTTCTCAAGACGTTCCTGTTTTCAAGATTCAAGATCAAGATGCAGTACCCTTGTGTTGTGTGCTCTCTGCCTGTCCGTAGAAACCAGAAGGCACTTCTCTGCGACCGTTGCAACAGATGGCAACATCTGTCCTGTAACACCGGGTTTTCCTCGGAAGACTATGAACGGTTCATGGACGACTCATCTGAGCTAGGATTGTGGTATTGTGAACTCTGTTCCATTCATAACAGTGATTCACCAATTCCGGTTGGAGAAAGTACCAGAGCTTCAGCTCAGGCGTTTTCTCCATCTGGAGTTGTTGATGACCTGATGGATGTGGACGAGTCACAAGTCCTTCCTAGCAACGAGGAGTCGGCTGTGTCCTTCAATGTCTCCCGTAGTTTTGAAATCCCACAGCCACCTGAGGAGAACAGCATCGTCGACGCACCCGTTCCTGATGTACTTCCAGACACCGGTCAAGATCAAGTCACCACGTACAAGGTCTTGGAAGGTGGGACCCAGCGAGGGAAAACCATCCTCGTGGACAACCGGGGCTACAAGTACACCAAGAGATGGCAGCGAAATCCCGCTTCGTCACAGCGCACCTGGACGTGAAGCCTGCGAAGTCGGAGCCATCGCTGCCCGGTCGACACCTTCACGGCCGGTTCCCACACCGAATACTCGCATTCAGCAAACCCCGGTGCTCATGTGGCCGTTGAAGTAACAACGGCCTTTAAGGCCACATCAAAGAGAGATGTCTTCCGCTCTGCTGGTGTGATCGTCGAGGAGGCAATGGCTGGCATTGCCCCTGACGCTCCAACCGCCAGCTTCCCGAAGCCAGCCAACTTAGTCCGTACAGCAAACCTAGCCCGACAAGGTCAGCGCCCTCAAGACCCCACCAACCTCCAGTTCCAGTTGGCCATGGATTTCGTCCCAGCGGACTTCCTGATCAAGGACATCACAGTCGGCGATTAGAGGCATCTAGTCTTCATGACACCAACCCAGTCGTCAGTCCTCGACCAAGCCAAGACCTGGTACCTTGACCGCAGGCCATCTGGAGGCAGTGCCAGAGTCTTGGCTTAGCTGTCCCATACACCACCGATCTAGAAGTCCAAGCCTGCATCCGGAAGCTGATGTCCCTGCCGTTTCTTCCCCAAGAACACATCGCAGCGACCTTTGCCAAGCTCAAGACCAAGATCACCGAGCCTCTCCTTACGCAGCTATTCGACTACGTGCAGAAGACCTGGCTCGACAGCAACGTGTGGCCTCCTGCCAACTGGTCCATCTTCCAGCACAGCATCCGGACCAACAACGATGTCGAGGGCTGGCATCGCAGACTCAACTGTAAAGCTGGTAGAGCTGGCTTACAGCTCTACAAGCTTATCCCGCTGCTCCCCACCGAGGCCAAGCTCATCACTCTGCAGATGATTCTGGTTCGTGAGTCGAAAATGTGCAGGAACCAGCGCTGGAAGACAAGACAACTGGAGGGCTGCATCTTCAAGCTGTGGGGCGACTACGCGCAAGGGACAATCAAGACGTCGGCTCTCCTAGCAGCATGCAGCCATCTGCATGGACCAGCCCTGTAAACGAGGAAAGCACAACCAACATCAACAAAAAAAACCAAACGGCCCTTTTCAGGGCCACACAAAAGAAAACCAAACGGCCCTTTTCAGGGCCACACATTTTCACAAAAGAGAATAGACATTTGCACTGTCTAACTGAAACCCAATTGGTCCTTTTCAGGGCCACCACGCATTTGCAGTGATATTAAATAAAATTCAAATTTTTAAAAATAAATAAAATTCACCTCCCCATTGTTTTATTTTACAAAATATAATTTGGATACATAATAATTAGGACTAAAAATTATCGGACCCAAGCAAAAAATTAACTTTCTGACCCAAGAAAAAAAAATATTTTCAGGGCAGCCTCGCATTTCCGGTGAAATTAAATATAATTCAAATTGTTAAAAATAAATGAAATTCACCTCCCAATTGTTTTATTTTACAAAATATAATTTGGATACATAATAATGGGGGGGGGGGAGCTCATGCCATATTTTCAATGGGGAGCACCAATAATATCCTAAAATCATTCACACTATCAACTTATGCACCCTTGTCACGGCTATTTTGTCTTTAGGGGGAGACCGCTCGCATGCACATCACAATCCTAGGCCCCCCCTAGCCCCCCCCCCCATAGAACCGCGCCTGATTCCACTTAATTACTGTACAAAGTGTAAGATCATGAAGATGTTGTAGCACATTCAAACACCCCTACTTCATCAGCATTGAATCAACTTACATTGTACAGGTTTTGCATAGTTACCCAAAATCATTGTTTTGATTAAAGTCAAGATCCAATTTTAACACCTTTTTTTTTCGAAGTTTGAATTTTATTTTTAAGACCTGTAGTGTAGCACACTCACTTCTGCTTTCATCATTCCTCGATGAATACAGTGAAGCGACTATCTAAGCTGTCTTTGTCTTTGTTGACAAGTATTCATGGTATTTGCCACCAGTACGGGCCGTTGTCATGCGTCTAACTGGGAGTTTGGCCGAGTCATTGATCCTTATGTGTAGGATCCGTGAGAAGTCTATTGCTTTTGGGGCTGACAGGTCACTATTGTCAAAAGAATTGAAATATAGATCATGGACCATGGTCCGTGGTTAGATACACTGATAAGTGTCCAGTACTAACTGACTATATAAAAACTGCCAGCATGCCAAGGGGACCGCGCAAGTTTCACTTACATGTACTGTATTGTGTTCTCTTTTTGTGTGTGTTTGTATGCAGATACATTTTATCAATGGGGTATCTTACGCAAGGAGATCTAAGCATTGACAGTTGACTGGAATTGAGGACTGCAGCTTTTAGACGAACTGTGGAAACACTATCAAAGATGGCTGGCAATTTCTGGCAGAGTTCCCACTGGTAAAAGATTAACAGTTAAAAAAAATAAAGTTGCACTGAAATATTTTGTAATCCCTGATATATGATGCAACTTAAGTTTCTGTTTACCACATACGTACGTGTACCATATCAACTGGATACTATTGGTGTATCGGTGTGTCCCCAAAAAAGCTTCTGCTTTCTAAGAGGTAGATTTCTCAAAATTGGGGAGACATATTGAAATTGTTTTAAGATATTGCTAAACTACAAGATCTTGGTGGTACATGGTGGAAACAGTGTTGAAAATAAAGCTCAAGTAATAAGAAATAGCGGCTATTTACATAAAAATGGTCAAAAACTAGTTGTCCACACATTATGCATGTTCTTTGCGTTCTTTGTGTATGCACTGCTATTGTGTTGACCATATCTCATAGACTTGAGTTTGGACAAACTGGTTTTTGACCATTTTTCTTTAAACCATCGCCATTTCTTAATTTGGGCTTTATTTCCAGCACAGCGCCGTTTTCACCATATAGGCCTACCGCAAAGATGCTGTACGTTAGGAATATCTTAAAACAATTTCAACATGTCTCCCCAATTCCGAGAACTGTGTGTGAAAAAGTTCTGTAAACTTTATTTTTATCACTCTGTATAATGTGCCTTAAACTATCTTTTCATAGCAAGATATCACAACACAAGAAAAACTAATGAGTTGCTGAAAAATAATGTTGTGTCCCAGAAGATAGAGTTTGATTTGTTGATACTTAAATGTTGTTCCATAGTATGCCACCACCAATGCTTACGTTTTGTATTTTCTTTGTTTTTGCTAACATTTGAGGGAATGGAGATAGTTTAACGTGCATGCCATTATTATAATTATTATATATCATTTGCCTGCAGTAAAATTGGCATTTGCTTACAATTTTTATTATCAACGTTTGATGTGGGATCTGTGGGCTTGGTTTACGACATGGTCACTCATCTGCAAAGCTATCTTTACTTCATCATAGTCACATCCCTTACTCCATGTTGTTACAGCCACCAGTGGATACTAGACCCTCAGATCCTGATGAGAGACAGACAAAAAGACCTGACCATTGTTTCGGAGGAGGAGTACCAGAAAGTCATGATCTTCTATTGTAACAGTACGTGCAAATTTCTCATTTCCAACAACTCATATTATTGGGATGGATGCTGTGCACCCTGTCAACAAATACAAAGAGTTGGGACGACAACTGGGAGGGACATGCAAAACTGAAACCAACCCTATCCTGACTGAGAAGATGGAAAACCGAACCGACCCAACCTGACCCAACCCAACCAAAAGTCAGTGTCGCGCCCCCCCCCCATCCTGTCCGACACAAGACGGCTTAACCAAACCGACCCGACCCAAAAATCACAAATGCAAAACTGAAACCAACCCAATCCTGACTGAGAAGATGGAAAACCGAACCGACCCAACCTGACCCAACCCAACCAAAAGTCAGTGTTGCCCCCCCCCCTCCCCATCCTGTTTGACACAAGACGGCTTAACCAAACTGACCCGACCCAAAAATCGCAAATGCAAAACTGAAACCAACCCAATCCTGACTGAGAAGATGGAAAACCGAACCGACCCAACCTGACCCAACCCAACCAAAAGTCAGTGTCACCCCCCCCCTCCCCATCCTGTCTGACACAAGACGGCTTAACCAAACCGACCCGACCCAAAAATCGCAAACGCAAAACTGAAACCAACCCAATCCTGACTGAGAAGATGGAAAACCGAACCGACCCAACCTGACCCAACCCAACCAAAAGTCAGTGTTGCCCCCCCCCCCCATCCTGTCTGAAACAACATGGCTTAACCAAACCGACCCGACCCAAAAATCGCAAACGCAAAACTGAAACCAACCCAATCCTGACTGAGGAGATGGAAAACCGAACCGACCCAACCTGACCCAACCCAACCAAAAGTCAGTGTCGCCCCCCCCCCCCCCCCCCCCTCCTGTCCGACACAAGATGGCTTAACCAAACCGACCCGACCCAAAAATCGCAAACGTAAAAGTGAAACCAACCCAATCCTGACTGAGGAGATGGAAAACCGAACCGACCCAACCTGACCCAACCCAACCAAAAGTCAGTGTCGCCCCCCCCCCATCCTGTTTGACACAAAATGGCTTAACCAAACCGACCCGACCCAAAAATCACAAATGCAAAACTGAAACCAACCCAATCCTGACTGAGAAGATGGAAAACCGAACCGACCCAACTTGACCCAACCCAACCAAAAGTCAGTGTCGCCCCCCCCCCCCCGTCCTGTCCGACACAAGATGGCTTAACCAAACCGACCCGACCCAAAAATCGCAAACGTAAAAGTGAAACCAACCCAATCCTGACTGAGAAGATGGAGAACTGAACCGACCCAACATGACCCAACCCAACCAAAAGTCAGTGTCACCCCCCCCCATCCTGTTTGACACAAGATGGCTTAACCAAACCGACCCGACCCAAAAATCGCAAACGCAAAACTGAAACCAACCCAATCCTGACTGAGAAGATGGAAAACCGAACCGACCCAACTTGACCCAACCCAACCAAAAGTCAGTGTCGCCCCCCCCCATCCTGTTTGACACAAAATGGCTTAACCAAACCGACCCGACCCAAAAATCGCAAACGCAAAACTGAAACCAACCGAATCCTGACTGAGAAGATGGAAAACCGAACCGACCCAACTTGACCCAACCCAACCAAAAGTCAGTGTCGCCCCCCCCCCCATCCTGTCTGACACAAGACGGCTTAACCAAACCGACCCGACCCTAAAATCGCAAACGTAAAAGTGAAACGGACCCAATCCTGACTGAAGATAAAAAACCGAACCGACCCAACCTGACCCAACCCAACCCCCATCCTGTCTGAAACAAGATGGCTTAACCAAACCGACCTGACCCGAAAATCGCAAACGTAAAAGTGAAACGGACCCAATCCCTACTGAGCGGATGGCAAAACCAAACTGACCCAACCCAACCGGACCCAACCCAACCCAACCAGAAGTCAGTGTCGTGCCCCCCCCCCCCCCCATCCTGTCCGACACCAGATGGCTTAACCAAACCAAACCAACCCGACCCAAAAATCGCAAGTCTGTAAAACTGAAACCGCACCAATCCCTACTGAGAGGATGGAAAACGGACTCAACTCAACCCATCCCAACCCAACCAAGAGTCAGTGTCAGGTCGGGTCGGGTGGGTTTCAATTTGGGTCGGGTTGGCACAACATTGCTAAATGATGAATCTATTCATTCCTAACGCTGTTTTTTTTGTATTTTTCATTTTGGTTGCAGTTATGCAGGCTATTGGAGAGCAGCTGAAAGTCAGGCAGCAGGTTATAGCCACAGGCATGGTCTACTTCAAGCGCTTCTATGCCAAGTGAGTATCACTGGCAGTCATTCTCAATCTGAACTAACTACATCATTGAGTAAGATCATACTTGGAGTGCGGGTAGGACTAGTGCAAGTCACATTGAGAAATGATTATTTGATGTACTAGGCCTATTACTTACAAGATAATTTAATTTTCTGCATTTAATGAAGTTGTCTGCAGTTGGCAATAATGAGTTAGCAGCATATCCTGTCCTTGATTATATTATTTTTGTTATGGGTTATTTATTCCATATAAAAACTGAAAAACTGGTTGCCCAAGAACAAAAAGAACTTTCCATGTACAAAATACATATACAATTAAATTGTCACCTTCACTATTAATTAGGCCCTTGGCTGTCAAAATTCTCAGGTATTTGGGATCAGCCACGGAAAAAAGTGAAGACTCACTCCATTCTTGATTGACACCTCATTAGCATGGCCAACAAATATATTTCCAAGATATTTGCTCACTTTTATTGACAGTCTGTCGCACTTGTTATGATGTACATTATGCGTTGTGTAATACAATGGATGCTCATAGACACACCTCCCCCTCCTGAAGTCTGGCAGACATGCTATCAACAAGTTTTGAAACCTCTGGAAAGTGATTTTAAGTTTGTGATCAGATCATTTCTGGCCTGATACCAACATGCACTCCTTTTTTTAAAATCTAATTGCAGACATCCTCTTAACAGCATCGACCCTTTGTTGGTGGGCCCAACAAGTATATTCTTGGCATCCAAGGTGGAGGTGAGTATATACTGTTAATCTATTGGGAAGAAATTCTAAATGTCGGATAAAATCAGATGTGATCATCTTCTTCATTGTAGAAAGGGGTGTATTATTAAAAGGGGCATGCACAAAGATGCAGTTTCACACATTTGTATTCGGGTCGTTCACAATTCCTTTCATAAGTAAATCACTAAATCTAAAAATTAATGTGGCCTGACGTTGCGAACTTAGCAAGTTCTTCTTCAGAACTTAGCAAGTTTTTGCCTCTGAAGAAGAACTTGCTAAGTTCGCAACGTCATGCCACATTAATTTTTAGATTTATATATTTCAGGTCCACCCAGTCAGTAAGCAGTTTGCAGCAGTCTTTCTTTTTTTCATGTTTTTTTTTCATAAGTAAATCATCAGTCCTTTCACAAGTCCAATCACATTGAACAGGGGGTGAACAATAACAAAGGAATGCCTTTGGTATAATTCATTTGTATAGCTTGAGACAGGAATTAACTTGTGATGGACTCGACTACAACACTGGTTTAAAAATAAGTAACGGCCAGCACCCTATTTTATAGAGATGCTGCCACAGAGCATGGTTCTGGCATAAGAAAGAAATGTTTGTTTTTGTGCAAGTGAATATCCTGTTACCCATGATTTATTATGTTGAAAAATTATTCAAAAGATGGAATTAGTGTCGGGGTGATGCAACTGAATATTGGGTTCTGCCCTTCACCGACATAATTTATAAACACTGTATACTCAGTGTTGTCCCGAGTGATTGTGAGAAAAAAACTAGTCGGATGGGACTCGAACCCACGATCTCCTGCTGACTAGTGCAGATAGATGTCTTACCACTCAACCACCGAAGATGCTGGGGTCGGGTTAAAAGTGCTAATCATAAGAGCAGCATTCAATATTAGGTTTTGCCCTTCATCAACATAATTTCATAAGCACTGCCAGGGGCAGATCTAGCTTTCAGGAAACGAGGGGTTGATATGAAGAAGGGGTGGGGGGTGGGGGGTTGAGTGAAGGCATGTCAAAGGCATGCCCTGCTAGGGGGTCTGGGGCATCACCCCCCCCCCCCCCCCCCCCCCCCCCCCCCCCCCCGTAAATTTTGAAATATACATTCTCCTGCGTTTCAAGGCAATTTGAGGAAAAAAGGTAGGAACTTCAGCATTTCATTTTATTAATTTTGGCGTCATTTTACTAGTGTCATAACATTAGTCAGCCCGCTGAACAGAGATTGCAACTCCTCCCAAACCCCCCCCCCCCATCCAACCCCCCAACCAATGCCCCAACCACCCCCCCCCCCCCCCCAACCAGCTACTGACTGCATACTTGGTGTTGTCCAAGTACTTGCGAGGAAAACCAAAAAAATCACAAGCTTACTCAGATGGGACTAAAACCGACGCCCTGCTAACCAAGGCAGACATCGTATCGATCAACCGCCAAGCTTTCTAGGGTTGGCTTGGGTAGCAAAATTCCATATATTTAGCAGAGTTATACAATTTGGCTTGGTCGTCACTTTTATGCTCTCGGGATATCCCGTGTCAAAATTATCGATATAGGTATACTAATCGTATAACCAACGTTACCCAAAATAACGATAAATTCAGAAGGACTGATTTATGAATGTTTCACAATTCAATTTGATTGTCTCTCTTGCATAGGAGTTTGGTGTTATAACAAGCAGCAGGCTCATGAATGCATGCCAGTCAGTAGGTAAGGTTTTCTGATTATAATGTTGTCTATCTTTTGATAATCAAACAGTCCATTCAAAAACACGTGTGAATTATATCCATCAGTGTAAATTTCTAACATGTCTAGGTTAGACAAATTAGACTGTGAAAACCAGAAGTGTTTAATGATTTATTCTCAGTAATGTACAAATACTGTAATGGATGAAATATGACATTTGTTTTTGTTGTTTTTACAGTGAAGAAGTTTGGCTATGCTATTCCAAACCAGGAGTTTCCCTTCAGAATGAATCAGGTTAGTATCTTTAACTCTTTCGCTACGGAATTTAATTTCCTGATTTACTCACGTTTGGAGGTAATAAATCGCTGGAAATTCCGCCGTGTGTCGATGTGGACGCCGCCATCTTTAAATGTCTCTCTGTAAACAAACTGCTCACAATAACCTGCAGCAGACCACGGCGAGACGGAGAGCCGCTGGCAGCGGCTCAAACTAGGGTCAGAGGTTATACGATATAAATTATGTAAATAAGGCACATGTCATGGGGATACCCTGTTTATTCACAGCGACGTCACCGAGCCACTGCCAGCGGCTTGCCGTACGACATGTACAATTTTTGCTCGCCATAGCGAAAGAGTTAATAAACGACAAAAAAGCCTGAAGTCTCATCTCACAAGTTCAGCTCTAACTACCCAGGCAATTTTGCAAGGAAACTTTGAGACTGTGACACTGTACAGGAAGTCAACTCGACTCGACTCAAGTCCCTCATGGTAAATGACTCAACTTTACTTGAGTCACTGCGAGCAAATAACTTGAGTCCCTCATCAGATTACTCCACTCGACTCGAGCGAAGGCTAGTAAGACTTGAGTCCCAGAAATAAAAGCTAAACTTTACGAAAAATATTTGCAATGACTTACAGTGCAAAATGTATGTTCACGTCACTTTGCGAATACAGTACAGTACAGCAGCCGCTTGTCATGTACAAACATACAACGTGTCACAGACCTCCACCTTGTGGTTCTCGAACGATCATAGGCTTTGGACTATTTCTTATACTAAAGCTCTTGAATCCGAACGCCGGCTAAATTTATGCCCATCCTTTAAAAAAATTAAAGAGATGCATGCCCACTTTTAAATAATCAGAAACAGTTTTGTATAATGCAAGTTGGTTTTGATGTTGTCAGCGATCAGCAAAAATAGTTCTAGAACCGAAGCCAGACCAGATAGCCTATAAGACCTAAGTTTCACTGCTTGTTAACTGTTTGTAATACAAATGAATTTCTCTAGTCTTTATTTGTTACATAGTGTTCAAATATTCGTGACTCGAGTGGACTCGAGTTAAATATTTGACTCGACTACACACTGTGACCAGGCATGCAACTTTTCCTCGGATCAGCTGATTTCCTCTTTTTTGACCTCCCATGTGTGTCATTGAAAATAGAAAAACACTGTACAAAGTCTTGGAAAGATTTGAATTTCCTCTTTTTTGTGACTTACCGGTTGCATGCCTGTGTGACTCGACTCGACCTAATTGACCTAATGACTCAATTCGACTCGGGTCACTTCTTTAAAATGACTCGACTCACAAAAATCAGTGACTTGTTACAACTCTGATCAAGGCCCAAAAGCAATAGTGGATATGTTTTAACTTCTAGAATCCTGCAAAATCCTCTATAACCACCTGTCCTAAAAAATAACAGAAAACACTTCCCAAGAAGTGCTTATAACGCTTGCAGCTAAACTTCATCACCCTGTCCAAATACAAATTATGAACAATAAAAGAATCTTTTATAGCAGGGGTTTTTTTTCCCCCCAAGTTAACAAAATTGTTTTTGCAAAAGGTGTGATTATTGGGGCTGTTTATGGCAGCTCTAAAAGTTGTTGTGTCCTTGTAGAGGGTGTTGGTGGGTTTTTTTTTCCTTTTAAGTTTTGTTTACTTGTTACTTGTTTTTTTTTTACATTCAGGTCTTAGAGTGTGAATTTTTCCTACTTGAAATAATGGTGAGTTGATTTCCTTTTCAGTACATGTAATATGTATGTCAACACCTTCATTTGAAAAGTTTTCATGTAATTGTATTTTTCTCAAAAGAACGGAAGACAGATATGACAGCAAGTTTATGAGTCCATCAAGTGCAAAATCTTTCCTGACTGATTACGGAATTCTGGAAAATGTTTGCACTGTCATATGCTAATTTCTCAAAAAATGGCGCGCAGTAAAATTTGCAGTAATGACGTATTCAAATGAGCATTTGGCTGTAACACCTCTGTTATGGCTCATGTCAGCCAGAACATGTCATATCAGCGCGAGTGGGATTCGAACCTGAATCACAGAGGTTAGAGGCCAGGAAAGTATCGCTATACCTGACTCCTTAGTATTTATTCAAATATTTGTGTATTGTGAATAAATGTCGCTTGTTGGTTGTTGGTTACTTTGCAGGACTGCTGTTTGATTGTATTCCATCCGTACCGACCCCTCATGCAGTATGTAGCTGACTTGGGCCAAGAGGACATACTGCTGCCATTAGCATGGTAAGTTCTTACAAGCACAGAAATATGTTTGGCCTTTCAGTCTGAAAACTCTTTGGATTTTTTCCTAGAATTTATATATTCTAGAATTATGGCTTAACCAGTTCACACCAGGATTATTTCGATGGAACGAGGCGCAGGATTTATTTTCAAGCGGCCTCATGCCAGGCGTGTTGAAGCTATGACCCTCGGGCAGCACACTCATATTTCCGGCCTCACTCCCTGCGTGTTTATCTATCATCCGTTCCGAATACTGCAAAGCGTTTACGTGTGTACACGACCTCCGGCGCGAACTGGTTAACAACATCATGCAGGTTTTACCCTCTATTTCAGGTGATTCTCATAATTGGCTGAAAAGAAATTTGGAGGTGTGTTCATAAATTGATCAAGGGAAAAATAGGGAAAAAAAGGATTGCTGTAGCTAAGCCTTTTCCGCCAATTTTTTGGAAAAATATTTTACATGTTTTCAGTAGTTTGAGATTTCAAGTTCATCGGTTCTTTTGCTGCCGTGTTTCATAATTTCATGCTGGATGGCAGTAAGTGTACCAGCAGTATTCAGAAACTGTTGCCTTAGTGATTGAGGTTAATTAATGTGGGTTTTTTTAGCAACAATCCACACAAAATCTCAGTTCGACCAGGAATTCAAGTAATCATTTTGTGTTCTGTTCTAGGCGTATAGTCAACGACAGTCTCAGAACAGACGTGTGCCTGTTGTATCCACCATATCTCATTGCTCTAGGTAAGTACAGAAAATGAAAACGCTTTGCTTTTTACTCACTTTTCTCAATGTTTGGTCGCAGTTTTCAGCAGTGCACTACCAAAAGGCTCTCAAAGGCTCTATGATTATTGGCTTACAATGTGGTCTTCAGGCTCTAAAAACTTCATCATAAAACACATGGCATTTTATGGTTTGTAGTTCTTGAAGCAGATGTGTGCATTACACATATACATTAATGGAAGGATGGAAACATTTCTTTTCTTCCATTCTGGATTTAAATTGTAACAGTTTGTGTACATGTATTCAATTTCTGTTGCATAATTGTTTGAAAGACAAGTTTGTTCAGCCAGTTTTAATTGGCAATAATATACTGATTGACATTTCCCAAATTGATGTTTATACCTTCAGTAGGTGTTTTATTCAGTTCTTCAAGGACAAGTCATTTTAACCATATAGCCAGAATTCCTTCTCCCCCACGCCCTCCCCCCATGAATGAATGATACTTGTCCGTAAAAGGTTGTGAAATAGTGATTGCTGTTATAAATTTGACATGGACTTTTGATTTTTTGCAGCTTGCCTGCACATGGCATGCGTAATTTCCCAGAAGGACACCAAGCACTGGTTTGCGGAGCTGAATGTGGACTTGGACAAGGTAGGCAACTATTGACCATTGTTTTCTAGTGGTTTGGATTAAACACCTAAATACTCTTGATATATGTGAGGCGTTCTGGTATAATGAGACAGAACCAGGCAGAGGTCGGAATGAGGGTTCGCAGATACTAGGAAAGACAACAAAATCCTTATTGAAAGATCCTTCAGTGTCTGTGTGATAGCTGTCTGTCTGTCTGATGTCTGTGTGTCGCATTTTTTTGTAAAGGCCTAAAGAGTTGACAAGGTAGGCAAACCAAAAATTTCATCTTATGAATAGCCTACAGAGTGTGCGCAAAATGCAACAGTTGATGGAGAGGTGTCGAGTGTGCAGGTCCAGTGCTATGATTTTACTGTCCTTTGAAGTCACAGTTGGCACATGCAAAAATGATTTCTATGTTTTGTTTGCTGATCAGGAATCTTTCTCTAAATGTGTGTGTCCAACCCGAGAACTATGCAGATTGTTATTCAGTATGGAGGACTGGAGTGTTGTCCAATGTGAACGACTAGATGTAGGCAAATACTGTAGTTTCAGTTGGTTATGCGTGGTTGATGTGAAATGAAGGGGGGAAAATGAGATTTTGGAATGCCCCAACGCCAAACCAATTCAAGGACGTGGATATTGCTCAACATGAAAGACCACTACCCAACAGCCTCACAGTAAGACCTCCATGTACTCAGTATAGACACCACCAAATACTGTTTAAGTCAATGAGTTTCCCATCAAATTCTGCCTCGCTTTCTTCAAAGGTACTGGAGATCACCCAGCAGATTTTGAAATTGTATGAACTCTGGAAGAGCTACGATGAGAAGAAAGACATCCCGGCATTACTGGCTAAGGTCCCCAAGGCACAACTGCAACCGCCCCCATCACAGAGGTATGACAAAGCTATTCTGGTAGTCAACAAAAAAACTAACATACATCAGTAAAGATCAAGTTCGATCAAGGATCATCGGTTGACTAGTGGTTCATTTGTGATGTCTGATACACCTCACAATGATTTCAACCTTTTGGTCCCTGTACTGCCCCAAACTGCCCTGCCTATTACTCCCTGCACTTACCCAAACCACTCGAACACTCTATAGTTTTGCGTGCTTAACATTTTTAAATTGGGCCCTGTTCCCTTCAAGCAAGGCACATGATGTGAATAAGGGAAAAATAGTGTGGTTGAGCAATTTTAAATGTCTGTGTTCAAGCTGGTTAGGAGCCTGGTGGCCGATAATGGCCCAAGCCAATTCATGAATACCTTTTTGGTCAAAAATTGGAAAGAATGTTGCATCCTGACGCCACTTTTTCATCATATATTATCTCAATGAAGGTCGGTCACTGCAGAAATGTTGAAAACTTGAATCTGGGACTGAGAAACATTTCCAACTTTGTTAGAAAATACTTTGAAAATTCACTCGACTCCCCATAGACTTTGTATACAACTAAAGAAGTGGTGTCAGGATTCTACATACTTTCCAAAACTTCAAAACAAAACAAAAGTTGAAAATAACAGCATTGCTGTTGAAACCCCTCAGCCGGAGTTTGTAGAAAAGGCAAACTGACATTCCAAACTCAAATATCATGTGTAACTGAAATTATCATGTAGAAACCATTAACTCACCATGGTGACCTTTGACCTTTTGACCCCAAAACCAATCCCAACTTGCCTGTTCCCAAGGGCAACCCCCTACCTAAGTTAGACACCAAAATATCATATACAACTCAAGTTATCATCCGAAAACCATTTACTCTTAACTCACCACGGTGACCTTGACCTTTTGACCCCAAAACCAATCCCAACTCAGTGACTCACCTACTCCTAAGGGTAACCCCCTACTAAAGTAAGACACTAAAATCTCCTTTCCAACTAAAGTTATCATCCGAAAACCATTTACTCTTAACTCACCATGGTGACCTTTGACCTTTTGACCCCAAAACCAATCCCAACTCGCCTACTCCCAAGGGCCACCCCCTACCAAAGTTAGACACCAAAATCTCATTTCTAACTCAAGTTATCATCCGGAAACCATTTGCCTTTAACTCACCACAGTGACCTTGACCTTTGACCTTGTGACCCCAAAACCATTCCCAACTTGCCTACTCCCAAGGGCAACCCCTTACCAAAGTTAGACACCAAAATCTCATTTCTAACACAAGTTATCATCCGGAAACCATTTACCTTTAACTCACCATGGTGACCTTGACCTTTGACCTTTTGACCTCAAAACCAATCCCAACTTGCCTACTCCCAAGGGCAACCCCCTACCGAAGTTACAATCCCAAACGACATTTCTAACTCAAGTTATCATCCGTAAACTAAGCTGCCCGGACGGCCGTTCTAGCCAGACGGACTTGTGGGGTGATAGCATTGTGTTCCCATTATCCCTTTTCCTAAAGATTCCCTTCTGGGGTGATGTTTTTCCATTGTGTAAAAAGTGGGGTGATGTGTTCTGAAAGGAACATCACCCCACAAGGGTGGTCTGGTCAGAACGTCCCGACAGACAGACGGACATACGGACGGACACCGTAGGCGATGACAATACCCCTCGAGCCTCTCGGCTGAGGGGTAAAAATTGACAAAACTCCGACAATGTTTCGTTCAACAATTGACTCTATGTTCAAGCCACTTCTATGGTGCGTGTTGCACATGCGTAGTGTACTCAAAATATGGAGATCGTAACAGTGGTTCTCAAGCCCCTAGTTGTAGTGCTGCAGCCGAACCGCCGAACCGAACTAAAAATAGCCGAACTTGGCCTTCCGAACTTGGCCTTCCGAACCGAACCCGAACCGAACGAACCCAAATGTCAGTTCGGAAAGTTCGGCAAGTATTTGTTGACAGCGCTAGGTATGCTAATGCTTGCAATGAAAGGGCAAAATGCATGGAAAATGGAAAAAAATCGAACCGAACCGAACCAAACTTTGAGGATCAGTTGCAGCACTACTTAGTTGTAGAAGGCAGATGTGGCGCGTACTGCACGCATGTGGCGCGGAGTGCAACATCTTGTTTTAAACATGATCGGTGTTTCAGCAGTGTTTTTAAGACAACCCTTGTGACAGGCCGTCGACCAATAGGCATGGGTAAAATGATGGTGAAAAAAACCCGTCTACCTTTCAGCACGGATGAAATTTTTCGGGCGCGCCTCCATTGTAACCTCAAGCCTCCCCCCCCCCCCAACAAACCCCCCTAGGATGAGAACCCTGGCTACGCCGCTGAATGCAGCATGTACATGTATGTGCCATCCTATCTTGATTTCATGGGAATAGGTCTTAAATACAGGAACTTGGTAATAACTTTCAAGTTGTGTTTCCCTTCTTTTTTTTCCTCGACAGTGAGCAGAGTCAAGGTGGTGCTGGCGATTCATGACAGTGAACTTGATTCCCTGCTTAAGATGGGTAAAGCTTCATCAAGGCACGCACTTGTACAGCAACAAGATGCATAATGCTATCAGATTGACGGCTCGGAGTTGGTGACGTACTGCTGGTTAGATTATTGTCATACTACTCAAAATGGGGGTTTCAGTGCTGGAGATAGCAAAATGCACAGACACGATTGCTATGATTGAGATTACTGCAGGAGGACTGTGTGATCATCAGTGTAAGAATATTGCTGCCTTAGTATTAACATTTATTTAAAATTACTTTATAAATACAGTTGACTCTTGTTAATATAAACTCTGTTAATACAGATTTTGTTTATAGCAAACATAAAGCCTTGGTCATGACTGCTTTATGTGCACAATGAATGGTATCCTTGCTCCTCTTAATACAAAATTCTGATACAGCAAACATTTTGACTAGGTCCGATCGAGTTTGTATTAACAAGATACAACTGTATTAGGAACAGATTAGAAAAGTAGAAGTGCAAGCTGTTCTTTGATGAGTTAGTGATGGCCCATCACAAAAACCACTTCATTAAATACTTGTAAATAGAACAAATTTGTGAGAAGAGGTTTGTATAGTGTGTATAGCTGGCAATGATGGTTAAGTAAGGTTTGTGAGAAATTTTTATGTAGCCTGTATATATGCACTCAAAGAGGAGTATGGGGTCAAGTTACCTGTGCGTGTGCAAACTGCAAGCCATAGAGTTATATTTAAAAAACTAGAGAGCGCACGTGCCGACATGGACACGCAGCCGCCATACTAAAAGGGGGAACAAGTACTGTGAGTTCCTGATTGCACTTTGCACATGACTGAATGCTGACCCATACAACTTTAAAAAAGAAATTCTGTGCCATTTCTAAACCCTAACCTTTCTATATCCTTCAAAATATACTTGCAGGTTAGGGGAAACATGAGAAAGGTGCAGCCTGGTCACTTTTAGTTTACACGGGGCTTGATACCACATTAAAGTTTGGGTAGATGTACTAAAGTTCTCGGCAAAATTATTACTCCTAGTTTTATTTTGTTTCCCTTGATATTGTCTTCATTTCAAATCATTCGGACTCCACTTTGTTTGTATCCATCAAACCAGGGTGTCCAATTTTGCATGGAAACTCACAAAGCAAAATTGGCAGTGGGTTTTCCAAAGTATAAAAATAACAGCGTTGCTGTTGAAACCCCTCAGCCAGAGTCAAGTTATCATCCGGAAACCATTAACCTTTAACTCAACGTGGTGACCTTGACCTTTGGCCTTTGACCCCAGAACCAGTCCCAACATGCCTGTACCAATGGGAAACCCCCTACCGAAGTTAGACACCAACATTTCATTTCTAACTCAAGGTATCATTCGGAAACCATTTACATTGAACTCACCACGGTGACCTTGACCTTTGACCTTTTGACCCCAAAACCAATCCCAACTTGCCTGTACCCAAGGGCAAACCCCTACCTCAGTCAGACACCAAAATCTCATTTCTAACTCAAGTTATCATCCGGAAACCATTTACCTTTAACTCACCATGCTGACCTTGACCTTTGACCTTTTGACCCCAAAACCAATCCCAACTTGCCTACTCCCAAGGGGAACCCTCTTCCAAAGTTAGACACCAAAATCGCATTTCTAACTCAAGTTATCATCCGGAAACCATTTACCTTTAACTCACAATGGTGACCTTGACCTTTGACCTTTTGACCCCAAAACAAATCCCAACTTGCCTACTCCCAAGGGCAACCCTCTACCAAAGTTAGACACCAAAATCGCATTTCTAACTCAAGTTATCATCCGGAAACCATTTACATTTAACTCACCACGGTGACCTTGACCTTTGACCTTTTGACCCCAAAACCAATCCCAACTTGCCTACTCCCAAGGGCAACCCCCTATCAAAGTTAGACACCAAAATCTCATTTCTAACTCAAGTTATCATCCGGAAACCATTTACCTTTATCTCACCATGCTGACTTTGACCTTTTGACCCCAAAACCAATCCCAACTTGCCTTCTCCCAAGGGGAACCCTCTTCCAAAGTTAGACACCAAAATCGCATTTCTAACTCAAGTTATCATCCGGAAACCATTTACCTTTAACTCACAATGGTGACCTTGACCTTTGACCTTTTGACCCCAAAACCAATCCCAACTTGCCTACTCCCAAGGGCAACCCTCTACCAAAGTTAGACACCAAAATCTCATTTCTAACTCAAGTTATCATCCTGAAACCATTTACATTTAACTCACCACGGTGACCTTGACCTTTGACCTTTTGACCCCAAAACCAATCCCAACTTGCCTACTCCCAAGGGCAACCCCCTATCAAAGTTAGACACCAAAATCTCATTTCTAACTCAAGTTATCATCCGGAAACCATTTACCTTTATCTCACCATGCTGACCTTGACCTTTGACCTTTTGACCCCAAAACCAATCCCAACTTGCCTACTCCCAAGGGCAACCCTCTACCAAAGTTAGACACCAAAATCTCATTTCTAACTGAAGTTATCATCCGGAAACCATTTACATTTAACTCACCACGGTGACCTTGACCTTTGACCTTTTGACCTCAAAACCAATCCCAACTTGCCTACTCCCAAGGGCAACCCCCTACCGAAGTTACAACCCCAAACAACATTTCTAACTCAAGTTATCATCCGGAAACTAAGCTGCCCGGACGGACGGACGGACGGACAGACAGACATACATCCGGACGGACGGACGCCCTAGGCGATGACAATACCCCTCGAGCCTCTCGGCTGAGGGGTAAAAATCATTGTCCGACAAAATCATTGGGTCAGTACATGTATTTCAAAATTGGAAATCACCAAAATCTGTTAAACTTCACTTATTAATACCTAAACTACACTTATTAGGCCCCCAAAAAAAGTTTCTGGTATGCGCGTGCGTCACCGTAGCCATGCGCGTCGGCAAAATGAAAAAGTTTTTTTTTCAATGAAAGATGATGTCTCAAAACCGCCAAACTCACCGGTTTGACTGGAATCCTGCTGCTGCACAATTTTAACGTGTTTTTAGATTGGGTTATGGTCGAGAATAAGCTTTATGTGGCCTCTCTGGACTCCCATATATATTTGCACTAAGTTTAGTCGGGCACCATTCATGCCATTTGCAGTCATCAGCCGACATTTGAAGCAAAAAAATAGGGTAAAAAAAAAAAAAAGCCGCGTCGCCGAACCACTTTTTGGGCAAGCTCCATACCAGAAACCGGAGATTTCTTTTTTTGGCCTTAATGTTGTTTTCGTTGCAAATTTAAGGTGTAATGTCAATTTCAATAATGTCAATTTCAATCATTTAAACATGACATTTTCTTAACTATCCATATTATAAATGGCATCAATTATACATGAATACAATAATTACATGTATTTGAAGTTGTGATACTGATTGTTTATTCAATAAACTTTTCAAATTAACATAAATATACAAATATTTTGGTAGAGGTTTGCAGCATCAGTAAAGCAATTACATTTAAAGGGGCATTAAGTCCTGAAATCCCTGAAAATTTCATGTTTTGGATTGTTTACTTATCCTATTTCAAACATCTGGTTGAAAGGAAACCAACCTCATGTCTTACCGTTCCCGTGAAAAAAAAAAAAACATGTTGTTTACATCCGAAGAATATGTTTTTCCTTTCGTTTTCAGTCGGTGTATGGTATACAAGTTGGGTGTGTCTATACAGCACCGTGCTCGCAAACAGCGGTGACCAATCAATCACCAATGCCCAAAATTTGGTTTCTTACACGTCCGCAAAAGGCAAACAGTTAACGGATGAAATCACAACTAGTACCCAAACAGCTCGACTTTTTGGGGTCACAATAGTGGACCCTGAAAGTCGTTCTCGCAAGCATAATATAGGAATAACACAAAAACGCCCAGTTTTTATTTGGATGTTTATATACTTTTAAATGTTTTTTCCAATCAACATCATTTCATTCAAAGCGCGTTTTGTAGCCCAATTGGGCTGTTCCGGGATGCAGTGTCCCTTTAAAAGTCTTTAAATTCGTCATACAAAATACAATTATGACATACATTGTTAAAAGCTTTTATTAAAAATATTTCTGTGGTTGGAAAGAAAGACCACAGTTGCATTTCATGTACATGTACATATGTGAAGCCATTTACTATACACTCACGAGGCCCCCTGCAATGGAGGAACCATTGTGTGCGCTACTGTACAAAGCTACTGCCCTGTGACTGATTATCTGTGCAATAGCCAGCACCATGCTTTTGCCGCTGAAGAGGGCCTTCGTGACAGAATTGATAGCGTGCTCAGTTTGGTCCATACACGTACTTGACAATATAGAAATGTTGCAGTATACATACACTACTGAATCTAATATCTACCTGTTGGATTCTGATGGGTTCAGCATGCCTCACATTGTGCAATTGATAGAGTCTGATAGATTCAGGATTGTCTCTAGAGACTATACATGTAGGTTTTGATCGTTTGACATCAAGGTACCACTTGACCATCCGGTTTCCCCGTGATTGGCCACCATTGCAGTAGGCAAGCATTTGGTTAGCAACCACACCGTGCACTGTAAGCTAGTTAATGTAAAATAATCATGAATTCTATATCAAATGGCATAATGGTTACAACCTGTGCCATGTATGGTTGTCATAATTGTGACAACCAAACACTGGGTGTTGGCTCTGTGTTGTTCTCGCAGTTTTTTGCAACCAAGATTATTACTCAATCAAACAAAATCAATTAGTACTTTTGATGAGTATTTTCGCTCTATTTATCCTAAGGCGAATCATGTCAAATCTTGATGTTCAGATTAGCAATTCCAAATTTGAATACCGTAGTTTCTTATTGCTACAAGCAGCACCATGTGTATGCTGCTGGACTGGTGCCTTGTCCATGTACCTGCTTATGACAGGGTGGCTAGTCTCAGGCACCCGTCTATTCACCTACTTCTCCTTTCCCTGTGCACGGCTTTTGAACGTAGTCACCATGGCGTGCTGCTCGCGGAGTGCGACCCAGGACTGCCACATGAGGGCGCCAGGTAGGACGACCCAAATGCCGTTGAAGAAGACCAGATAGACCCAGAGATAGAGGAAGTTGCTGGTATCCAGGTTGGGGCTACCGGTGATCCACTCTGGGCAGAACGTCATCCATCCTAGAAAGAAAACGTTAAATTTGTGTACATGTACATGTACATCAGGCGGGCCGGGACTAGTGGTTAAAGCCAGAGTCCATCATTTGCAGCTATCCAAAAAGAAACTGGCGTAATTATTGTTGAAAAACATACTGGTTGAAAGATAGCAAGGGGACTAAACTCCCTGTGAAATTATTCTTTCTGGCAAGCTCTCATTTTGAAGAAATCAACGAAAGAAGGCATTTCCAATGGTGCGTCTTAAGAAGCACCGTAGGAAAATTTAAATTAGTAATTCGTTTTGTTATTCGGCGCAGCGCACGCAAGCATTGGCATGACGCACAGGCGCGCGCGGTCGCTATAATGCGACATTGCGTAAAGCTGCAATTCAAAACATGATTTAGCAACTTTTGATTTGAAATTGAGATCCTAGAATGCTGTTTTTCTCGAAATATACAGCTGAAGCTGAGCTGAAGCTGAGCTGAAACTTCATCAGGTTAGTTGTTCAGTATCCTTCATTAGATTTTGAACACTTTTGTTGCTTCAAACGAACAAAATGCACAAATTACAAATGATGGACTTGGTCTTTAATGCGTTGGTGACTTTCAACTAGACTCTCTGGCATCACAGTATGACACAAATGTGGTACACTGTGGTGCAATTGCTGTAATCCGGCACTGCAGTGTAATATGCATTTCACATTATTAAGAAACACTTTCCAAGCTGAGTATGTCTCCCGCACTTGCCTTTATACTTCAAATGGTCCTTGTAATATGAGCAACTGCACCCCCCCCCTCCCAATTAGCAAAAACCACAAGCCTAAAATTGATCTACAATTGTATGTTTTCTTGTGGTGTGCCCCCTATCTAGCCGGTACTCTGTCAAATTATGTACAATGAAATATAGGCCTACATACTTGAAACTAAAGTCATTACTTCATGATCAATTCTCATAATGAATTCAGTCTAAAGGTGCCATGCATACATGTGTACATGATACCAATTATTTGGACGTATCACCCACAATGCATTACCTGGAAAGGGTATGACTTATCCACTCCCACATGGCTTGCCAGATGATTATATAAGTTTACCTACCTCCATAGAGTTCGCAGACACACAGAACAATCTGCACGTAATGGCGGTAGTGCTTGTCTTTTAAGATGGCGTACACGAGCACAACTGCCAGGATTCCATCCAATACTACAGTCAGCAATTCCATGGAGACAATTGTTGGGTCAGACACACCCCATCGCGCATCAGCTCGAGCATACTCCTTCCCTATATTTGAAAAAGAACATCAAAACCACCAAAAATGTCACAATGTGTTGTACTTAAATGTAACAAAGATCAGCTATCCAAAAGTTATCTTACAAAAGCTTGCATGTGCTCGGTTTAACCCTAACTCCCAACTGTCTTTTACTAAAAACCGGACCGCCAAAATCCATCAATCACACTGCTTCCTAATGCATTGCGTTGCTTTAGGCCTCCAGGCCCAAGTCAATCATACTCCATCAATATTTAGGACCAAATCCCTCAAAATCCACCAAAATGGGGGGGATGGATATTGATGGAGTTGGGAAGGTTAGGGTTAAAGATAGTAATATGACACTAAACTCCCTGTGAATTTAGTCTTTCTGGCATGCTGTCATTTTGAAGAAAACAAACAAAGTAGGCCATTTCCAAAGATGAGTCAAGTGACACATTTTTGGAAATTTCTGTTAGTAGGAGGTTGTAATTCAGCAAATCTGTGAATGGTGTGCACAAGCATTGACATAAGTATTATTGATCGGTTCAGTGCGTGACATCGTATACATGTAGCTGTGTCCTGGACACTGATTTTGGGCGCAATTCAAAACATGACTCGGCAACTTTTGAATTGAAACTGAGATCCTAGAATATTTTTCCTCAGACTATACAGCATTCACAGATCTAAAACTTCAAAACTTCAGGTTAGTTGTTAAGCATTCCTCTGTAGATTTTGAGCACTTTTGTTACTTCAAACGAAAAAAGTGCAAAAATGCCAAATGATTACCCTGCTTTCAAAGTATAAAATCTGCAAATTCATTTGTTCCCATGCAATGTATACAAGTAGATCATGAACCCACTTATACACGTAACAATGCAGAAGGAGTTAAATGACATCACACAAATATTATAGACAAATATCAATGTCTTGAGGCAAAGTTAGAGGACAATGGTTTTGTATCCCTTGGATAGGCATAAATTCAAAACAACAAAGAACGCCTTCTGAGACACCTACAATGGTAATGTCGATTGCAATTATGCCCCGCCCACTTTGCATGTGGGTAGAAATACACAGGCCTCTTCAATACCACACTGCACATTGCAGCCATGCACGTCAGACTTGTTTGCAAGCATGTCTGACATTAAAGGGAATGTACATCATTGGCTTTTGCTGTAGTTTTCAGAAATGAACTATTTGAGGGGTTAATATAATAGATCAAATATTGTTACACTGGCATTTTGTGTTTGAAAAGGTTGGAAAAACCAAGAAAAACAAAAAACATTCAAGTAGTCTGGTTCCCTGACTCCACAAAAGATAAAATGGATCAATTTATGGATGATGGAAAATTGTAAGGCAAGGGAACTAGTCTAGCTGGCCTACACCCGTTCATGAACATGTAACCAATAGCAAACAAAATTTGGACTGAAAAAATGGTAAATTTGGAGCAGTAATTGAAAAATAGTTAGGTTTTTCCAACGGTGGTCGGCCGACCACCGTTGGAAATGTATACAAAAATACCATTTTCTTGAAAATGACTTCACACCAGGTGCCATAATTTTACAAGATGCTTGAGACTGTCATTTACCAACATCCTAGTAAGGTATTTCGTAAAAACTTGGTAGTTTTATTTTTCGATGTTTGCAAATGTTGTATATTCCCTTTAATTAATCACTGCTGTGATCAGGCAAAACATCATAGGAGGGGGTAAGCGGATTGATCTATAGTCTATCTGGACAAGCTGAGAGACTGCAGGACCACTTTGGGATTTGAACCTGTGACCACCAGAATACAAGAACCCTAAATTAAATGTACAAGCCCTGCAGTCTACCACTTTGTCAAGGTGTCTGTTTAACTAGCATTAGTCAGAAGCTATAAACTGTTAGAAATTATAACTTTCATGATCAAAATATCCTCATCAGAAACTTGTGGTACAATACAATTAAACAATTGTTTCAAAATGTGAGATCCGATAAGGGACATCAGGGGGAGCTGGTTTTCAGGAAATGGGGGGGGGGGGGGGGGGGAGGGGGTGATATGAAGGTGGTTGCTGATGGCACGCCTTGCTAGGGGGTCCAGGGGCTTACGCCCAGATTGTTTTTTTAATCTACAATGCTTCTCCTGCATTCTAGTTTTAGCCTTCATTTATTTTTTGGCCCAATTTGAATACCTTTATTAAATTAGTCAGCGGCTAAAGGGGATTGCGATCCACCAACACCACCCTCCCAGATCCGCTACTGAATATGGCCGCGGGTTTTCCCCCACATTGATGGATGCATAACATCCAAAAACTAAAAGGGTGGCATATTTCTTTTGATGTAAAAGATTTATACATGTAGTTCATGCCATTATTAGCACAGCGCCATATTAGACCAGACTTTTTGATTCTGAGCAAAGCAAAATCATTGGACAAATCTTATTAATGAAAACATTCTTGGCAAATGCTTTCGCAGTCGGTCGTCTTGCGGCGATCCAAGAATTTCACCTCTCACACCGCAGTACGAATGCCCCCGTCAGTCCCTCTTAATAGTCCTTTTTGTCTCTCTTATAATATTGGTTGCGTTTTCTTTTTTGGTGTGGTTTTTAATAACTTTATTCATCTAGGATCCAGACGTTTTGAGATAACTAAAAATAACAGACATAATGCTGGCAACTGATACACTTGTTGAATGAATGCCCCAAGACTCAAAATAGCTCAGCAAACATCCACTAAACTTTGATACGTACTGGTATGAACACTCGACCTTTGCAACAGCATACAATCAAAACTGGGGACGTTTCAGCAGCTTGATAAGGTTCCAAACCTCCCAAGAAGATAATAACATAGATCTGTTCTTGATATGCAACACTAATTCCCTAAATTCAGAAATAGTGTATGTGTGTATAAATGGAGCCAAGATTTTGTTTTTTAACTATAAGGGCCATGGCACACTAGCTAATTTAAATGCAAATTCTTGTTGGCCAACTGGCCCAACTCCAAGAAGAAAATGAAAGGCCAATTTGAATTCCATGTTACGTTTCCATAATCATTATTCGTTCTTTGTGAGGGTTTCTTTTGCATAGTCTATTTGGTTGCCTCCAAGTTGCGTGAGAAAATTGCCTTGTTTGACTTGGCCAGTTCAGTGTTCCACCTGCACCTGTGAACAATAACTGCACATCTTGAATTCATGGTTTTCCGGCTATCAACAGTCTGCTGTACAAATGTCAAATTTAACTTTAAAGGTATACAACATTTGCAAACATCAAAAAACGAAACTACCAAATTATTATGAAATACCTTACTGACCCTTAGTGCATGTCAGTCTAAAGCATCCTGTAAAATCATTCATGAAAAAGTTACATTTTCGTAACGTGAGTAACCGATTTTGTGCCTCTTGTTTATCATACATAAAACATTTTTCTGGATGTCATCTTTGGTGTTTAGGTAGGTCTAGGTCTACTTTATCTACCATGGGGACAACAGTTATTAAACATTTTCAGTAAGGTAATTACAGCCCAAGGAAACTCAAAAGTACATAAAAAAATGTAACATGAGTAACGGTGGAATTGCCCAAATGTTCCTTTTAACAGGGTACCAGCAAAATTCAAGTTCAGTTCTTGTCCTGCATTTTAAAAGACTGCACCATGTTTATAGGATATTTGAATCGTTTGTATGAATATTCATTTTTATTGTTTATTTATTTTTAAACAGCATGAAAAATTTCATATTGTGAATTTTGTTACATTGTACCCCATCTACAGCATTTATTTGGAGGTATAATATTGCTGCTTAAGACTGTTACCCGTACATTTTTAGTGACGTTGGTAATAATGTGCTCAACATGCAAGGATGTAGGGGGAGGTTGGGGATTTTTTGTCGGCAAAGTTGATGTCAGGAGATTGGCAGGGTTGAAGAGTGCCACCAATTGTCCGATAAATCCCCCCTCCCACCTCCAAACCCCCCCCCCCCCCTTGATTTTGGAATTTCAGAGGCCAGGGACTGGGAGAAAATCCTGCTCCCTGGTCTAACTAGTTGTGTACTTACATACATCGGCAAAAAATCCATCTGTTGTGAGCACTGTGCCAACCAGGGAATAGTACACAAATATAGCCTCCTGAAGCAAACAAATGCAGAAATCAGTTGTCGTCAATATACAGACACAATACAGACACTATAAAGAATAGACAAATTACTGACAGGCATTCTGTACCATATAATATAACATCATCACAAGTCTCTTCAGCATTATTACATGTATAGTTTACGTTATTCTCTGCTGTGCATGTAGGTACCAGTATTTAGCCAACCATAGGACGTGTAAAGCCCAATATATTTGTATGTGTAAACGCGAAGCTACGCTGTCACGACAATGTCGCGCAACAAAAACTATGTCAAACGTTTTTATTATGCCAAAATTATTCAGGTAAGAGTTAAGACGCTCGACTTGCATGGTTTTGTACATGTGAACACACTCATTGAATTGTACCTACTTTGAATAAACACTTGATCATAGGTTCGACGCCGCGTAAGTCCAACGCCAAATCCAAAACAGCATTTGTCCATTGTCAGACCTTTGAAGCGTCGGCGGAACCTATGAGGCGGAATTTATTTCTCATAATTCCGCCGCCTCATAAGTCCGAAATTTCAGACTTATGAGGCGACGGACCTATGAGGCGTCGGACTTATGATACGGCCCCACCTGGGCTACAAGCGGCCCGTATACCCCAAGCATGCCAAGAAACTGTTCAAAAATTACCAAAAAGGTGTAATTACATTGAAAGAAGTCTGCTTTAGGTTGACAATGTCATTTGTCAGTAATAAAAAAGATGCTTGATTCTAATTTGATCGAATCAAAACAGGGGCCCTACATTAGTCACTACACGATCACCGTTGGCTTTAAAACCGTTTAAACTGCCGATACATTTAAAGGGGCTCTAACTAAAAATTAAACCGTCTCTCGCATCACACCCCACCAAAAGTGCTGTAGTCTTCAACTGTGAAGTTAGCGCTTAACTGGAAGAAGAAACCATGCATTCAGAACAAATTCAGAACATCCAGGAAAGAAATTCTACATGAATCTTTCTTGAGCATAGTTCAAAATGCACACAAGCCAAATTTCTTTGCTTTTATAATGAATTGTGAAATAGAGATTCACTGGACTTTTTTAAAAAAGTTAATGAAGACAGAAGTTAGATAATGTACCAAATTTTATCCATGATTTAAACAATCTGAAAATAAAATGGGATAACGATCAAGGCTAAAAATAGGGAAGAATTCCACACGGCTGATTGATATGGACATCGCTATTATTTCCTGCAGTTTATACCTATCACAGTCAGTCATGCAGAGATCGATTAACATACATCCTATTCCTAAAACTAAATAGCAGGGAAAATATTGAAGCATACACTGAGAAAACACTTGGAATTTTTCAGACCAGTCTCATGTATGGTTTGTGCACAGTGTGACAAGTGATGTCAAGTGATGTCAAGGGCGTCAATCACTTTTCAAAAATGGTGGGGACATTCGTTGATCAGAACTAATGCGAGTGCGAAGCTTTAACGGCATGGGAAAAATTTTGGATTCTAGACGCTCTGTGGCGCGATCTGAGGCAATTCCACTTTACAGATTGTTTAGCAAAAGATCATAGTTTAAACATCATTTTTAAAGGGAAAATACAACATTTGCAAACATCAAAAAATAAAACTACCAAATCATTTTGAAATAACTTGCTGGACTGTTAGTGAATGACAGTGTAAAGCATCCTGTAAAATCATGGCACCTGGTATACTGTCATTTTCAAGAAAAGTGGTATTTTTGTATCAATTTCCAACGCTGATCGGCCGATCAGCGTTGGAAAAAACTGGCTTTTTTTCAAATACTGGCCCCAGTTGACCATCGCACTTGTTTGCAATCGATTACACACCTATGAACGGGTACGAGCCAGCTAGACTGGTTCCCTGACCTCACAATACCCCAATATATGTAAACTGCTCTGTTTCTTCTTATATGGAGTCGGGGAACCAGACTACAGGAAAATGATTGTTTTTCTTGGTTTTTATAGCATTTTCGAACCCAAAACCTCAAAAAAGTCAGTGTAACTATATTTGCTATATATTTCCAACCCCCCAATTCCATCCATTTCTGAAAATTACAGCAAAAGCAAATGATGTATATTCCCTTTAAGTTTGGAGTAGGCTAATTGAATCAGCTATTCTCAGCTTAGTCCAAGTAACTAGGACTCTACAAATCGCCTTTTTTAACATTTGGAGATGGTCAGGCGACATTTTTTTGGAGGGGACGGAAAAAGTGAGGTGGTCTAACGATATGATAGCCCCCCCCCCCCCAATTTTAAAAAGTGTGGGGGGGGGGACTTGTCTCCCCCCCCCTGTCCCCCACCGACTGACGCCATGAGTGATGTCCAGGTATGGAACTCAAATGATTATGAGTATACTACTACTAGCATGGGCGTCGCCAGGGGAGGCAAGGGGGGGCACTTGCCCCCCCCCCCCCCTGGAAAAGCAAAAAAAAAAAAAAAAAAAAGGACGAAAAGAAAAAGAAAAAAAAAAGCAAAGAAAAAGAGGCGCGAAGACAAAGTGGTGTAAATTAATGAGTTGGGGGGGGGGGCAAAATGTCCCTGCCCCCCTCTAAAACTGATAAATCGAAAATGTGTTGAGAAATACAAGCATTTTTGGCAAAAAAAATTTTTTGCCCCCCTCTAGAAAAAATCCTGGCGACGCCCATGACTACTAGTAGTAGGCTAGCCCCACTAGTGTGGCCGCGGTATGCAGGTTCACCGCAGCATACCGCGGCCACACTAGTGGGGCTAGTAATAGGCCTATAGCTCACCAAGGTGAAATGTGTGAGAATGTCGTACACCAACCACACCATCACCAGGCGTTCCGTGGTGGGAAGCTTTCGGGCCAGAATCGGCCCAACGATGATGGACACGACGAATGTAAGAGTAGCAAAGGCCAAGCTAGGAAGAGTGGCGGCCGATAGAAGTGAAGACTCCATAGTAAATGAACAGTCCAACGTTTTGGTCGAAACAATTAAATGTCGAGTTGTTGGTAATTTGATGTTTGTGGAGTCCGACGAGCTGCGCTTCTTGTGTACGATCGAACGCACCTGCCGTGTGTATCAATCGAATGAGGTCAGCTAGAAAAAGCACTGGCACATATAGCATGCCAAGCCACCTGCTATCAGCTAGCATGCAGCTCGTAGGTGCGTCCCTGGCGGCGTTGTGTCGATGTGGTCATGACCCAGATACCATGCATGCTATAGCTAGCTCAGCTCTCTGCGGCGGCCGGCCGGCCGGGGACGTCGCGCCCCGGTCGAAAATGACCTCCAATATACAACGGGTACATTCTTTTCTCTCAGGATCACTCAAAGATACCTCAAGAAGTTCAAAACCACTTGATGCCATTGTTCTTACCCTTTTATGGGCAGGGCCATGACTTTACAAAGTGGGGGGCTTCGTGCGCAAAAGAAAAAATGATTTAGATAATTTCACTTTCTTTTCACTTTTTCAGCATTAACAGCTCACCAAAACAAGCATCACAATGAAAAAAATCCGAAAATTTGCCTCTTTGGGGGTGGGCCACATTTTGTAAAAGCAGGGGGCAAATGTCATTAACAGAAAATCGAGCTGTAATAGACTTTATTTTGGTGTTTTTGGTTTTTGTTTCCATTCAGTACAGTAAACCGGGTGGACATAATGCGCTTACCTGTCAAATCATTTAAAAAAATTGTTCCCTTTTGGGGTGTGTGACACCTTTTTTCATTAAAGGGGGCATATTCCAAAAGTGGGTTTGCGGGAGCCCATATGCATTTCAGGTATACATTCTTTGAAACTCTCAGGATCACCCATGGACACCTAATCGCTTGGTCCCATTTTTTCCAACGCCCCTAGGGTTGCCATTTTGAATTTCCAAACGGCACACATATTAAACTGACAAAATGTTCGACCTTTGAGGCATTTATGCTTTGATCATTTATATTGCAATACCGACCTCCTTGACAGTACACCCAAACTGTAACAGTCATTTTAAACTTCAAAATGGCCGCCCGTACAGTTTATATTAAAGATACTATTTGCACTTATTGGAAAAAGTCTAAAAATGGCTACGTTCAAGGTCAAAGAGCAATACTTATCAAGCTCAGATGATTAAGCGAATGAAATATAAATCACTTGTAATTGGACACAAGTTTGATGAGGCATTTGATATCCATGATCTTATAAAGAAAAATGATTGAGACCTACAGATATCTGTCCATAGTTCCACAAGCTAAATCCAGATCAGGGAGGATTTTAATTACCACAAGGTTCGTATTACACATGTATATGTGAAGTGAATTCAGTACTGCGGTGTCACAGCATGAAGGCAGTCAGTCAATCCCAAACTAAATCACGATAAGTGTGTGAGTTGGAGGCTGTCCAGATGAATTGCACAGAATCACCAGTTTAGTTCAATTTCAGCCATTTATGGAGAATTTACTCAATCATCGGCAGAATTAAGTTAATCTGGCACTAGTACATCAGCAAATCAGAGTAGAAATCAGTAGAATAACAATGGGTGAATCAAATGCAGATACATTGTAATTTGACAGCTGGTTGATAATTTCTCCCACTCGGTGGAAAAGATCCCGTACAAAGATGGATACACGAAATAAAGATCCAGTATTGTACAGATGAAAACATCCCCAGATGTAATAAATGAAGGTCTCAGTAGACCGCGCCTAGTATACATACTGCCACAGTTTCTAGAGGCGCCCATAACACCTTCCAAATAAAGTAGTCACCTTTAAAGTGATTAGAATGACTTTCTTTACACAAACAAGCAAAAGTACACAATTAACATATGGCAAACAAAATGAGCAAATCTCTCTTTCCACATAAAGCAACTGTGAGACGTATACCTGTGAATGATAATTTCACCTGGTATATCTGCAAAATCTCCTTCAGGCCTCTACCATACTTGTTCATACCCTCCTGGTTTAAATGGCAACCATCTTCAAGGATGTACTTTGGACGGTTCATTTTTTTGTTGGGCATATTTGAACTTTCTTTAAATTCTCTACTGAGTAGCTCCATATAGCTAAAATAGTATTGAATCACTTGGCCCGATGTTTGAATGTGGCAACATCTATCCGTCCTTGACGCGTTATTTTAGTACGCTGAATTAGTACAGACAGCAGTAATATGTTTCCTGGGGTAACACCCTTGGACTCAAGCAATCTTCAAAATGAAGCGTGTCCTGAAGTAGGACAGCAGGGGTGATTTCTGGGCTACGTCCCCATATCAATGATCAGTACATCAATTTTCTTCTTTTCATCTCACGCAGATAATAATCTGTGCTAGAGAATATTCTAGCATGCGTTAAGCCTGGATGGCCTTCTGCAAACAGAGTACACCAATCAACTGACAAACTGATTGATGGCTTCTCTGAGCCTCCCGGTAAAGTCGGGCAACGAAAGAATGACTAATTATACAATGTATGTAGAAAGACATGTGGCTTCTCTGCCATATTTTGATGCAAATACATGAAAATCGTTAAGCGGGCTTAGAATTTCCAGAACATGTGGCAATATATATAGCATATGAAAAACCAAGCACTTCTGAGCCGACTTGGCCATATCTCTTACAACTACATTGTACATACAAATATCCTACACTACGATCACATGTGCATTGGAGGCAAAGACGGCGTACACCTCGTCCCCACACCACAAATGTGGTGCAAGTAATCCCCTCTCCAATGCACTAAAACCTTTTGTCTCCTTAAAACTTTCACTTTCATCCATTCATAGGTTAATCCAAACAGAGTTTTCCAGACAACGATTTTTAAAAAGAGATGAAAGACAGGCAAACTTCAAAGACAGACTTCAGAATAATAGGCAACTTGAAGACATTGATCAGAAATTAAAATCAATCAGAACAGACAAGGGTATAATAGGGATACGGCCTCGTCCTTCGAGCCCCACTTCTCGTCGGTGAAGACACCGGCATGCCGGTGCTGGTACCGCGGCGTGCTCCGAAAACCGTTGTCAACCGTTCGCTCGCCTGAACGGCAAATAAACAAGCCAAAAAACAATCAAAACCACTTGGGAACAATCCAAAAGAATATTTTCCGGTCCGGGGAAAGCCCAGCTCCATATCTCCAGACACAGTGGGCCGTCTGTCAGGAATTACACACCGGAAACGGCTGCAATCTAGCGAAAACTCGCAAAACAACGCGACGATGAAAGGTAGTGTGACGTCACACGAACTGTCCACGTATCGTGTGTATCTTTCCACCTTCGCGCGTATCTTTGCCTGTATCTTTCCACCTAATTAATTCGCATGTAACGTTCCTGTATCGTTCCTGTTCCATGTAAGTCTCAAAATCGCGGAGCGTTACATTAAAATTGGTGGAAGATGCTTTCGGTATATTGATCACTTTCCGCCTTTTCGTTATAATAACGGTGTTTGTTAAATTAAAGTAAAAAATGTACATGTATCACTTTGTACCATCTGTAAAGTAATAGAATAAAAATAAGAAATATTCTAGAGTATATTCCATGTACTTCGCACGACTGATAAACATGTATTGTGATCGTCGCGTTTCTTTCTTTCTTTCTTTGTTTCTTTCTTCGGGCAAACGCTAAAAAAAAAACCCACACAACTACACATGTTTCTGCAAAATTCCTTGGCCGATTTCAGCTAAATTTTGGCAGGATCTTCCTTGACCCGAGTCCTATCTTAAATGACTGTTAGTGTCGAGGTCACTGGTCACCTAGTGGTCATTTTCTTCAAAAATACAACATGCTTCTTCTCCAACAGTCTTGTCCCAATGAAATGGCTTCGGGGTTTGCCTTTCGCAGTATGATGACGGTGGCCATGCACTTGCACCCCGTGGCTTATGCCAGTCGCAGTCTGAGGGGGGCAGAGAAGGGTTGTTCTGATGGAGGCCCGTAAGTGGGCCATTTCACAGAAGTAAAGGGGGTATTTTTTTCTGGCGACTCAAATAAATGATAAATGTATCATCTACAAATTCCTCAACTGCCTGCAGCATTATACACACACATACTAATTCTATGTCGACAATTATGTGTACATGTACATGTTGGGCCTACCAACAATTCTGTTTTATCTAAGAAAGTTAAAAGGTACCTTTCGTGCAGCACTGCATGAGCAGTGTGTCACTGTGTAAAGGCATGTACATGCATGTAAATACATGTCTTATTCTAGACAGAAGTATAATTAAGTGAATAAGTATTTATACCCCTTTCAGTGCGATTGATGCACTTTAATGGCCGGGTTGTTCCGAGTCTGCAAGCGATCATACGGATACAGTCCACGTTCCGGGGACTCGCGATCGAGCGTGTCAGCCCAGGCCGCCCGTACCAGACTCGCGAGCGCTCAGACGGCAGGAGGGAGTCTGCGACGACAAGGGTAGAAGACGAAGTCTCTCGGACCCGGCCAAACGGAAAGCCATCTTAATGTCGAAGATTGGGGTTGGAGGACTGCTTGGTAGACTAGGGCAAGTTCATCGTCGATTTAAAAATGCTTTGGGGACTTAAGTTAAGATATGAAAGTTGGAATCGATCAGGTTTAGAATGGCGGTAAAAATCATATGTAGCCTAAATCTTTTAGTAAAGCAATAGGTTTTATCTTGAAATAGAATCTTGGTTGAGAATGATTCCACATAATAATGCTCCGTCGAGGCATGTGGAGAACGAATTATTTTGTGGAGTTACTCCTCACATGATTATTCTGCAATTGTAGCTAAAATTTGATTGAAAATTTGTCACTCTGTATGGACAAAAGTGTTTAGGTGATTGATATAAGGTTACACGCCCAACGTCATTGTTATGGCGCAGTAGGGGCAATAATGACGAAGAAAACTTCGTCACTCAATCTGTCAAAGAAACTTATTTTGTGCCGTTGCTCGATTTCGTCGAGTGAGGGCGCCCTTATGATTTAACGGTCTCAGGTAGCTGCGCCGCTCGGCGTACGGTTCAACTTTTAACAAATTTTACACCGAATAAACATGTGCAGGCAATACCCTACGATTTAAAGTACCCAGAATTGCTAATTTAAATATTACTGCGATGGCATATTGCGTGCACCTGCTTATTCCCCGTGTATTTTCGTTACAGTCCGTCTCCAATCGGGCTCCAATCGGCATAGTTGAGACCGTTAAACCGCAAGGGCGCCCTCATAATTTTATGACGAATGCAAGGGCGCGGATTTTGACTTATTATTATTATTATTTATTTGCCCAACAAATGAACAAAACTACAATGACAAAGCAAATGTATATCATAAAGTAAACAAAAATTGGAAATTGAAAAAGTATGACCAGACAAGACTGAAGGATGCGAGTAGGTATGGGTCGGGGGGAGGGGGAGGGAAGGGAGGGTGGACAGTTTGACAGGGGAGAGGAGATAGAGGGACATATGCTAATATTCTTCATCCATGACTTTGGGAAGATGAACTTTTATTTAATGACAATGTAAACTATTCTGGATAGTTTTATGGGGCAAAATTGTTTTGTAAAATTATAATATTGTGGATTTTGTTGGTATTGTTTTTGGAAAAACAATTGAAGTGAGGAGTTTGTGTAAAATTGGCAAACTACAGGTCAATAAATTTCTAGAAAAGTAAAAATATTTATAACTTAAAAAACAAAGAAACAATTACCTTCTTTCCTTTTCAAGAAGATACATAAATGCTGTCAGAATTGTCTGAAACTGTGATGCAAAAAAGCTGAAATTTCAGATGTGAATAAGATCATATTGTCATTATTTTTGCCAGCAGCTTTCTATGTGTGTATGGTGCATGTGTGTAGTGTCTGTTTATCAGTTGTACTAGTTAAATCTTTTAAAGTATGTGAGGCCATCACATTTATATTTTCTCTTGCTGACATGTTTGTCTTTTTATTGACATCTGAACAATCATAATTCAATCCCAAAATCAATGTAAGTCAGTCACTAGACAATCAAGAGTCAGTGTCCCGTCTGTCACAAGTCAACCTCAAGACAAAGGCAAGACAACCATAAGTGACAAGCATTAAGTGAATCCCAAGTCAATCACAAAATGAAATTGCATGAAAACTTAAAGTCACAGCTCTCTGAGATAGGAACAATCACATAATTATGTTTGCCTTTGTCACAGCTCACCTGAGTAGCTTTTGTGACTTGTTTACTACCCCGATTGATGTGATGATATTTGAAGCTTGATAACATTCCTGCCACTGACCTTCAAAACTAAAACACATTGGAGTTAATCAAGCTTAAAACACAAACTTATTATAGTTAGTTTCAGGCCTATAATGTAGTTATAAAAGTGTATGAGGGCACTTGATTGAGGATTGACTCACTTCCATCAAATGCATAACCACCTTAATCTCAGTCCCATTTTAATTATTTATATCACTGTTTGTCAAAAAAATTGACAACAAATACTTTTTCTGAAAGAACACATTTTTTTGTCAAACACTTATCCAAGCTGATGCACAGACCTTCACTAAAGGTGCTTGTAATTAAAACATGCATGGTTTTGCGCGTTATCCTTGCGCAAAACAAACCGTCAACTTTGGCAAAGAAGTTCACCTTTGATGAAAATCTGGAGGGTCATCAGTTGTGAATGCACAATTAACTACCACAAGGAAAGTTAAATTTGGTTTACATACGTTCAGCACCCCTATCACTAAGCCCCGCCTCTTTCTCCTTAGAGAGCGCCCTCTAACTTTCGTGCTTCCAGACTTTGCGAAAAACAGACATCTACTTTGGCCAAAAAGATCTTGCACCTTTGATGAAAATCAGGAGTGTTATCAGTTGTGACTGCAAAACTGTCACAAGAAAAGTAAATTTGGTTTGCAGAATGTTCAACTCCCGTATCACTAAGCGTCGCCTCTTTCTCGTTAAGGAGCGCCCTCTAGCTTTCGCGCTTTCTGACTTTGCGAAGAACAGACTGTCAACTTTGGCCAAAAATGTCTTGCATATCTGGTGAAAATCTGGAGGGCCATCATTTGTGACTGCATAACTGTCACAAAAAAAAGTTGTTCAGCTCCCCTATCACTAAGCCTCGCCTCTTTCTACTCAAAGAGCGCCCTCTAGCTTTCGTGCTTTCAGACTGCGAAGAACAGACTGTCAACCTTTGCCAAAAAATTTCACCTCTGATGACAGTCTGGCGAGTCAGCAGTCGAAACTACATAAGAAACTGCCATGAGAAAAGTATGTGGTCAAGGGTATGATGTTCGACACCCCTCCCGCTAAGCCCCGCCTCCTCCTCCTTAGACAGCGCCCTCTAGCTTTCGTGCTTTCAGACTTTGCGATGAACAGACCATCAACCGTGGCCAAAAACTCTGATGCCAGTCTGGAGAGTCATCAGTCTGAACTGCATAAACTGCCATAAGAAAAGTCATATGTGCTTAAGGATACGTTCGGCACCCCTCCCGCTAAGCCCCGCCTCCTCCTCCTTAGACAGCGCCCTCTAGCTTTCGTGCTGTCAGACTTTGCGAAGAACAGACCGTCAACCTTGGCCAAAAACTCTGATGACAGTCTGGAGAGTCATCAGTCTGAACTGCATAAACTGCCATAAGAAAAGTCATATGTGCTTAAGGATACGTTCGGCACCCCTCCCGCTAAGCCCCGCCTCCTCCTCCTTAGACAGCGCCCTCGGGCTTACGCGCAATCATGCTTTGTACTGTTTGCTTGCAAAAAAAAAATGGCTTTGTGTCAGACTAGCCTCATTTTCTGTGCTAAAAGAAGGCCAAAATGACCTCATATGGTACCAAAACAATGCTGTAAGTTTCCCGACGTCAAAATTTACGAAAAATATGGAACGCTTCACGATTTTGCGTGTCATCCTTGCGCAGGGGCCATGCTAATCTTCTCTGTATCGTTCCAATTTTAGTATATGTGCAGCCGAAGCTAGCACGATTTACTTTGCGACGAGACTTGTATTTATATGGCACATGTCTGCGAAACCATAAAATCACTACTGCTTCCAATGTGAACTTATTTAAGGGGTTTGTTAGAGACATCTGATCGATTTTCAACCATAATTTTGATATCAGCAGACAGAGGAGGCAATATCCTACATAATGTAGTTCACAACACTAATTAATGTTGCATAGATATCTTGTAATATCATGTTTTATGAAGCATTCACGCCCAAAGCGAGAGAGCACTGTTAGCAAAGCTCGATGGTTTTCCTAGTCACCTTTAGTGCTTAATCATCAGCCCATACAGTATGCAAATTAGCTAGCCCACCACAATGGCCATTCATTGGTTCCCATTGAGCAGTGGGAGGAGCTAAACCGGTTCAATGAACCTTGGACTCACGCGCGCGCACGCCGCGCCGTGACTCTTTCATGAAACAGACAAAGGGGCAGCTTCATGTGTGGGTGAGTGTGTGAGTGTGTTGTTCAATCAACAACACATGTTGCCAGGCATACCTCTCACACAAAGCTGCCCTCTTGCTTGTCTTGCCAATGCCCTGCACATGAAAACTAGTGAGGTTTCAGCTCTAAGCAAGTGAGTTTGTCTCTTAAAACCTCACAGACTTGTCTTGAAACCTCACTTGTTTTACAAATGTAAGGGCAACCTCTAACTAGAGGCAAAATCAACATAGGGAAAACATTTAATCACTATACCTTTTCATGATACTTTCTTGTGCTGTTGTTGAATCTCAATCACTCGATAGTCTGCAAAGAATCTGTGACCTTCCATCATGACAGATCATCTTCCATCTCAGTCTAGATTGTAACAGTTGGTGCTTCTTAACTTCAGATGTTTTTATGCTACTATTCTGATCATCAGGTGTTGACTCCCTGATATGCAATTCTGAGGACTGAAGCAAAACATCAAGAAAAGGTTATCTGAGTTTTCTTTCTGACTGTAATAAACAGAAACATGCAATCTATCATTCCCAACTCGAAGCCAGGGGAAACCATCAAGTTGTAACTAGGTGACGTAACACAACATTTGCTGCTCCCAAGCCATGGACATTTGCAGGGATATTCCTTGATCAAATCACTTCATCTACTTGATGACTGGTTCATCAAGAATGTTGCTCGACACTTAGTCTCATTGCAATTTAATCCACTTTTTTTTTAACTGGCAGAACACTGAACTTTTGGTGTTTCTACTTCTTTCAAGTTAAGTTTTGTTTGAAAATCAACTTTGAGTGCCCCTTGGTTTAAGTTGATGTCAATCCTACACAAGAATTCTTAACAATCGGACAATTGTATTCTTGGAAGATTCACTCTCTCGATCAGGGAGCTCAGATGCTTTCTGCTGAATCCATCTTAAATCTCATCTTCCTCTTCTTTGACCCATCATCATGTGTCGGAGTTCTAATCTGTGAAGCAGTCAAAGAAAAGAAAAGACAAAGAATCTGTTCTGTGATTCAAACTGACCTCGTTTTTGAGTCCTCAAACCTTTGAGTCCTCACAACATTTTTTTTTTCGATTTCAGCATCTAAGGCTTAATTGTTGACTCAAAGAAATTTTGTAAGTTTTACTAATTTACCTGCTCTATGCACTATAAATTGATCAATTTATGAGCATGTTTTTCTCTTGACATTGTTGTGGGAAGAAGCAAATATACGACATGAAGACCACCAACTGCCTGTCAAGTTAACAACCTTTTACACACCGGTATTAATTGTTTCCTTGAATTGATACATGAAATGTTTGTTGCATGTAGTCACTTGCCCAATACATCAGGCTGATGAGTCATGTTAAATTGTATGCTGATAAAACTGTATGCACAAGGGGTCAATGTGCAGCCACAATGGTTGAACAAACTTTGGGTGGGCACTTCACTGCCACTGTTTTGTGTTTGTACAAAAATTTATTTTCTGTTTCCCAGGCACTGCACTGTCTAGGGACTCAAAGGACCACAACAACAACAACTGAAGAACCACTTAGGAAATTCCAGGAATTAGGGAAGGGGGGATAATGGCGGGTGAAGGTGGGGGTTGGGGGTCAATTTGGTCTGCTGCATCGAAATTTGGTTTGTATCATGACCAGTAATAGTTTAGTGGCACAGCAGAAGGAACATTTGTTATTCCTGCGTCTGTAGAAATGAATCTTGATTATATCATGAAGCTATAGCTCCATGATTATATCTCAGATATTGTAAAGACTCTAAAGAGCGACTTAATTGTTAAAGTTATTGTAAAACAAGTGAAGTTTTTTCCTTTCTCCATACTTTAACTTGCAGCTTGACGACACTCAACCAAAAAGAAAGTCCCCCCCCCCCCTTTCCAATACTTTTTTGTGTAACTCAAAAACTACTAAGCACCTCTCGCTCAAATAGTAACGACTACAGAAAATCCTTAGCAATCCAGCCACACTCTTTATTTGGCCCAGAACAGCGATATTGTGTACGAATTTATGCAATTTATGACCAATGATACAGAAAACAGTTGCCCTTTTGTATACATGCAAGCTGTGGTTCACACTCACCTTGCATTTACACAAAAGTGCAACTTTTTTCAGTACCATTTGTCATAAATTGTGGAACGCTTAGTGCCCAGTAATTTTTTAGTTTGACAAAAAAGTATTAAGGGGGACTTTCTTTTTTTGTTGAGTGTAGTTTTACCATAGAGGAATAATAACGCTTTTATTTCTCCATGCTTTACCTAGGGGAAACAACTTACCTATAGCTCTAGCTGAAGGTAATCAATCACGTAGCAGGTCAGTTTCATTGGAGACTATCCATGGTCAGTTTTTCTGATAAGGAACAGGTGGCTCTGGCTTTTCTTTAAGTGTCACTTAGCTGGACGGCTGTACTGACAAACATGCCTGAGAGAAAAATCACAAAACAGCTATAAATGCTTTTTTAGAAGTCACAGCAGCTTAACAGAATCATGAAAAGTAAAAACAATGAGGCTTTCTATCCTGATATACATTGTACAACAATAGGAAAACACACAGAGCAACAGCATCTCTTCAACACTGAATCCATAGTATCGAAATTTCACAAGAGTTTTGAGTTACAGATTAATTTGTCAAGTTGACAATCTCATTTGACAAGACAGAACTTTCTCTGTCTTTTCAGGATAACACATGCCCTGTGTTATCACAAGTTCAATCCTTTCAACATAGTAAGGTATTGTTATACAGTGAGGAGCTTTTGTGGGAAGAATAGTTGGCTGTTGGTAATGTGCCTCTTCATACTTCAGCAGCCTTCAGCTTTGAGAAATAGCTAGGGACTAAGGTGCTATTTCATTTGGGTGTACATTTTTATCAATACAAAAAAGTTTACCAACACTCCAAATAGCATCCATGGTGACTTTTATAGCCTTGCCAATAGAATTTTTGGTTTCTCTTAGGTAGCCCACTCATAAACTTTGAACACACACCTTGTTAACTCCAAGTCATAACCTATTAACTGATTGTATGAATAATGTTTACAGACCTGTTTATTCTCCTCTGTAAAGTTGTTTACCGTGTGTCTTGGCTGATACTCTAGACATCTTTCTTGGCTTCTGAAGTGTGATAAGAAAGATAACAATGAATACAAGGAATAAAGGTAAATCTCATGCAGTAGCAGATCAGGAGTGGGGGTGCACCCCCCCCCCCCCCCCTTCAGCTGCTGAGTAATGTTATGATACTCGTAAAATGGGGCCAAAAATAATGAAATGCATGCTTAATTAAGTTCCTAAATTGTCAATTCCTAAAATGCCTAAGTTCCTAAATTCTAAAATTGCCTTAGAATTTGTACTCCAAAAATTGAACATCGGATATTTCAATATGATTGTCCCTAGACCCCCCTAGCAGGGCATGTCTTAACTCACACCTCCCCCCCCCCCTTCACTCCCCTTTTCCTAAGCTAGATCTGCTCCTGTTGTTATGTCCAACTTATACAAGCCCCCCCCCCCCTGAAGGTAAAATAAATAATAGGCCACTTTCAATTTGTCCACTTCCAACCCCCCCCCCCCACCCAACCCCAAAATCCTCTGCCCCCAAACATAACCCTATCCCACCCCACCCCACTTCCCTCCCAAACTCCGAATTTATTAGACATGTTACAGATTTTAACAGGAAAAATACTTTTCAGGCCACATCTCATAATATGAGTTTTCCATTTTGCAACCCCCCCCCCTCATCCGCCCTGATCCACTGCCCACAGACCAACCTCATCCCACCCCAGCCCAACTCCTCACCCCCAACTCAAGGGATACTGCCTCTGTGCTGTGCCCATTTCCTTCTCCTAACTCGGAGTATTTGCTTCACTCATATCTTTCATTGCTGTTCTCAATGTCCTCAATATACATTATGAGGTTGTCTCATTCACTGTATACAACGAAAATAAAAAAATTGTTAGGGAAATCCAGCAAAGACATTTCCAATAATGAGAGATACTCTAATGAAGAACAATTCAACTTACCATATAGAAATGGAATGCTGCTTGTGAATACTTAAAAACATTCCTTTCAACATTCCAAGACAACGATTTTAGTGAACTATAATTGTAAAATATTTTTACCCTAATAATAATCACTCACCTAACGCTTTATACTCCTCATTTTGAAACACCCTTGATGCAGTTCCAAACCACGAAAAATAATCAGCTTCAGTTGTCTCCGATTCCGCTGTCATCTGCATATTGAATGAAAGCAAAATAATTTGAAATAAATCAGTTACTAAGTTTGTGCCAATACATATTGTTTATAAATACCATTTTGTCAAGAGCTATCCCCTACAAAGTCACATAAGCCACGGAGGAATAAAAGCATTGTTTCTGTATGTTTTATTCCTCTGTAATTTGTGCATGGAAATTATAAGCGCGACCCCTCAATAACAAAACTTGACTTGCTTCCATTTCTTGTCAAACAGTAAGTTGTCCGCGGACCACATGTGTCGCCTTTTTCCACGCTCGATCCCTACATGTATATGTTTTGTGTTATCAAATGACCCCTGGATATGACCTTCGACTTTCAATTTCGGAAGAGTTGCGATGAACCCCACCCACGGATCACCCCATCCAAGTGACATTAACTCCATCAAATCCTGTCGACAAAGAAACATTTTCAGTGTATTTGAACAATGACCGATCTACGGTAAATCCTACGGGACTCGACTACGGACGTACGGTCATACACAATTTAGAACCGGAAAGTGTCTCCCAAAACTTCGTTTAATTAGGCGACACATAAACTGAGTGCACATTTCTTGCATTACTACTAATACTATACTTACCACTTTGATCTTCTGTCCTATGCCAAATAAATTAATACTTTACCCAAATCAGGATTTTTGCACTGTCGGTTGTTTCCCAAATTTCTTTAAACACCTGCGAAAACAAGTATAACAAAAACAGATTTCAAGTTAGTATGGTAATCACAAAATTGATTTATGTTTCTTAATGATTTGTTTGTAATTAAGATTAAAATAAAACTTTTTATAAGTGAATGAAACTTCAGTTAGCTTGCTAATTGACAGTTCACATCTGAAGTTAGCTGGCCGTGCCTTATATTTGTTTTCTCTACTTTTCAAGACTTGAATGTCGTCACGGTCAGACACTAATTTCTACATCTACCATCAGTCATCAGCAAGGCTGGATCCAGAACATAACTTTTGGGGTGCCAACAAAGCTGTTTGTTCCCGAGAAAGTGGGTCCAAACATTTCCCGCCCCAACTGTATTTAATAGGAAATGCAAGGGGCGGGGGTACAAATGTGCTGCTTTTGTGGAGTTGTTTGGGTGGTGTATACATGTAACCTGGAAAAAGGACACACTATGGGCGAACTCACACTAAATAGACTCTATGGGGATTAACTAATCAAACTAAACTAAACTCAGGATCGTTGAAAGGAACGGGCGCGAAAAAAATTGAATTAATAGAGACACAGACACAAATTCTAGATTTCGAATAAAAAAGGGACACAAAGAATTTATTCACAAGAACTTCAAAAGAAAACCAAAATGACCAAATAATAAAACCAAAACCACGAAAATCAAGATTAAAACCAAAAAAAACTATAACCCTAAAACCAGTACGAGTGAATTAAGTGGACCTATAAAAGAACACTCTGGCACAAGAAAATACAAAAAGAGAAAACGTCTTATTATGATCTAATGAATATGCATAAACTCGTCTCCAACTCACACCATGCTCACACAAAGGAAGTGGGAGACACTAATCCCTAACTCAAGGATTAGCAGGTAATAAAACTATACCCCACTGGCCCCAAACTCTGTACACTAGGCCAATTAACCGTGGGAAACAAAGAAATTGCTATGTAAAAAAAAAGCACATGGTCAAGAATTTAAGACAATCTCTAATACTAAGAAAATGTACAAGAAAAACATAAAAAATCTAGAATCTAATGAACTTTCAACTATAAGGCCAAATCTGTGTTGTCAAGGCAAACTTGCGTAGGGTTGAAATCATGAAACTGAAGGGCAACTAAGTAACTTTCTCCGGCAAAGGAGCTAAAAAAAAGAAGACACTCACAAGAAAACAAATGCTTCAAATGCGGTGCACGCCAGTACGAACGGAGTCGGTGTGAAGACGCAACAACAGCAAAAATTCGAAAGTAATGGTAAGACTGTGAAATGTCTCAATGAATGTTATTATACTGCACACATGAAATGCTTAACGCCTCTTTTATCTGAGAAATATTTCCAATTTGATTGGGTGAAGAAGGTTCATGTTATCAAAAGTTGACCACATCCTAACCCTCGAATGACTAAACAGTTCCCCGCGCGCGTATAACAGACGATAAAGGTTGGTTAATAAATCGCCAAGACATTTTTTTTCTATAGCTTGTCTGACGAAATAACAACACATATTTTTGCAGTGTTGCTTTTTATAGTGGTTTGAAAACATCAGACACCGTCCCATCTCTAAAGAAACCGAGTGACATTATAAACAATTAAAGCTCATGCTATCTTCTCCAAACGAAACACACCGACATCTAAAACAGCTAGTTAATATAATCCCATCTGTAAAGATAATTGCCAACTATAAGCGATACGGCTTAAAGGAACACACCACACACAAACACGTGTTTATGATATAGTGTAGGCGCCATGCGCTGAAACAATCTCGTTTGTTCAACTCTTGTGTGGAATTAATTTCTGCTGTCCCCCCCCCCAAAAAAAACCCAACACACACCAAATTTTCAGTTGATCCAAAAGTATAGTAAAGAATCCGTGGCACGGTGTTTAGACTTACCGGTACCTATTCTTAAGCCGTGTCCGCACTGGACTTTTTTTTGGAAGGTTTTACCGAGACGATGGTAAAATGAAAAATGGTCAAATGTGACCACTGTCCGCACTTGGACTTTCGACGCGGGAAATTTTACCCCGACCGCGTGGGAGAAGTAACCGAGCTGTCACAGTGTCAGTATAATGACTCACCGTACGCAGAAAACAAATTGCCGATCACATTTTCAGCCACCGATACGCTCAGTAATATTACACACGCCATTTGCATGCATAACATAATCGTTTACGCGATATTATTTCATCTTGACACGTTAAATCTTGACGAAAGGGCCTATAATTCTGACGCATTTGTGATGCACGTCGTCGAAGCCATGCCGCTGTACGATGTTCCGTGCGGCAGCAGTGCCATCAGTATTCGTTGGTTCCCATCGCATGCTTACAGAATCGAAGCTATGATGTGGGCCAGGAACCAGTGACTACGGCCTACGTACGGTACCGGACCATGATGTTCCGTACATGACTACAGTAGCGTATCAGGACGAATTTGGATCGTAGAAAATAACATACATTGGTGGAGAAAGAGAATTTCCGCAAATTAATTCTCAGAATGTGATCTCTCTTCTCTGTGTATGTATTTGTCCGTTGAAATATATATTTTAACGAGATTTTACCGCTCGGACTTGATAATACACCGCAGCGTGTTTCTACAAAATGTTCGGCCACTGCACGTGCAGGTTCGTGCGGTCTCTGTATGCATAACAGGGCGCTCGGGCCGGATGTACGCTTTCCTGAGCCGTTTTTACCGACTCGCACTGTCCGCACTGGACTAATCGTCTCGGGAAAAGCGACTCGGTCAGTTTTCCTGGGCGCGTGGGAAGTTTTCCTGGGCAGCAGTTGGCCAGTAAAAGTAACCGCTGGACTCAGGAAAAGTAACTGAGAGGAAAACGTCCTAGGCTGTCCGCACTGGACTTAAAATGGGAAAAGTACCCATAGTCTCGGTTAGTTTGACCAAAAAAAGTCCAGTGCGGACAGGGCTTAAGGAACATCAAACTCCTCTGATGACCCGGTCACCTATGCTATGAGCCCGATAGTCCGATGGTTCGACGGTTCTTTAGTCCGAAGGGTCATTAGTCCGAAGGTTCGTTATAGTCCGAAGGATCAAAAGCCCGAAGGTTCAATAGCCCGAAGGTTCGATAATCCGAAGGGCCCATTAGTCCGAAAAAAAGTTCGATAGGCCGAATAGACCAGAGGGTTCGATAGTCCAAATTGACAATAACGTTCGATAGTCCGAATAGATGATAAGGTTCGATAGTCCGAATTTACGATAGAGTTCGATAGTCCGAATTGACAATAAGGTTCGATAGTCCGAATTGAGAATAAGGTTCGATAGTCCGAACGGTCGATACTGACGGTTCGTCAGTGTGACACTTCGGACTACGGCGGACCTTGATTCGGACTATCGGAACTTATTGGGAGTCGATTTGGACTATCGGACCTTATTGCCAATTCGGTCTATCGGACCTTATTGCCGATTCGGTCTATCCATGGAGTCTCCATGGTCTATCGGACCTTAGAGTCAATTCGGAATAATGAACCTTCGGGCTATTGAACCTTATTTTCGTTTCGGACTAGGCCTATTGAACCTTCGGCCAGATTAACCTTATTCTAAATTCGGACTATCGAACATTCGGATAAATGAACCTTCGGATTAATGAACCTTCGGATTAATTAATCTTCGGACTATTGCATCCGAATGTTATGATTAACGAACCTTATTTCCTTTTCGGACTAACGAACACCCTCTTATGAAAATGTTGTGCATTCGGACTATCGAACCTTCAATTGCCCACACCCCCTAAAAATATGATTATTTGCTCCACAATTCATTTAGGCTATATAAACATAGGTCTATATGGTTGGGACCTGCATAATTATGCATTCCTGTAGTAGTAATTGTTGTTGAAAAAATCATGCAAGTTAGACCTACAGCGGGACATGGACATTTCCCGACTTCATAATTTCATGAAAACATGTAGATTTTCTTACCCTGGCAATTTATACGGCTCAGTCACACAAAAAATCCGTTCTTAAACATAGGAACAAATACGATATGTGGCAAGACCCATGTTTATATTAAAGACTTTAAAGCAATCTGAGAATTTCACCCTAGTGGTAGATATTCCCCTGCGGTTTTTAAATGCAGACCGAAACAATAAACTATTGACGTAGATCCAGCCTCATCTGCAAAATAGATCCTCAAACTTCACTTGACATGTTCCGCCCTGCACTACTTTTACCCTGATGACGAAAAACATGACCCGATCGGGAACATAGTGTACCGAATGGAAACTGGTATGGTTGTTTTGAAAATTACTACAAGAGTTCTGTCAAAACCAGGTCTGAAATAAAGAACCTCTGGCCATGGAGAAATAAAACAATGCTCTGGCCATCTAGTACGCGTCCAATCGGAAACTTAATTGCCTCCTCATGAAAAATTCCACTGTTATTTCCTCCGATGTAAACAGCTGGTAATAATCAAGTTAAGTTATCTTCTGGACCTATGACAGGCATGGCTACCCCTAACCCTCTGGTGCGCCTATGCTTCACCATGGCTCCACCAAGCAACAACCTCGGTTCGGAGCCGGCTATAATGAAGACTGAACACGAAAACCTCATAAACTTAGCAAATCAATCTGACTTACCTTCATAATAATTATAGTTTCGGCTTGCAGGATATCAAACCATGGAGAAATTTCTCCATGATCAAACTGTTTGTCGGCTTCCCTGGCCTTGCATTGTGATGTGACGGCGAGTACATAGCGACTATTGCAGCGGCGTCAGTCGAGTGGTTTGCGCCCGCGATCGCAAGCACGTGGCACCGCACAACTTGTGTTGACGATGACAGCACAACAATAACACGTAGATAGAGGGCGCGCTTTATGTTCACCGTTAACTCAAATTCAGTTTTTGCAGGTGTTACATGCCATAGCATAATGAGAAATAATTCCCACCTTTGACTTTTCACGTTACGTACATCATTTTCAAAGGTGGGGGTTATTGCTCATTATGCTATGGCATGTTAGAGCGCAATCATTGGCTTTCCAATGATTCCAAATTTATTTCTGAAGCTTAATTTATTCCAAAGATATGAAGCGGGAACTTTAACAGTGTCCTGCCAAGTTTCTCTAACCTCATTTCGAGAAAAACGGCTATGAAACAACAACACGCATTGCGCCGCCAACGGCAGTGAAAAATGTTTTTCAGTTTTCCACTTTTGTGGGTGTTTTTTCCCCAACAAAAATGCATAGTGTGGATACCTTGACTACTCAGACTTTCTTGACTATGCATTCAACTTCCTAAGTGTAACCTGGGGAAAAAATGACACACTATCGGGGAACTCGCACTAAATTGACGTTATGGGGATTAATTAACTAACCAAACTAAACTAAACTCAGGATCTTTGAAAGGAATTCTTTGAAGGGCACCCTCTATTAAAAAGAGGTATTTGTGTACAAACCCTTTTTTTAAGGAGGGGCAAGGGCGGATCCAGAACACAATTTTTTGGGGGGCCCAAAAAATTTTGGTCCCCAAAAAAAGTGGGTCTAAAAAATTACGGCGTGGGGTTCGGGGCCCGCTGAAGGGCCCCGAAATTTTTTTTTGGGATTCTAGAAGCTCTATGGTGCGATCTGAGGCAATTTCTGACCACTTTAACCAATTTTTTTTAGCAAAAAGATGGTGGTGTACTCATTGCCTGCCTTTATTGCGATGTCACATTAAAAAAAAAAAAGAATTGGTTTTGTTTTTTTTGGGGGGGGGGGCATGGCCCCTTTGCCCCCCCCCCCCTGGATCCGCCCTTGAGGAGGGGGGAGGGGAAACAATAGGAGGTCCTCTTAAGTGTAGGATACTGGGTGTGCATGCGTGTGCAAAAATTTACCTGAGCTGACCCTAGCCATGTTCTCATCTTTTAGAGCTATGATCTCATCGTTTATAATTACAAATATGGGACGCAGTAATATAGACGTAGCTGTAGCTTTGGAAACCCACATCAAATTACAAGCTCATACTTTATTGCTTCAAACAGAAAACGTGTCTTATTATTTTCTTACACTTAATTACTCATGCGTATAGGTAAATGTTATAATACTTGTAGCAAGACGCTTCTGTTTCGTGTTTAGCAAGAAAATTCACAGTAAAATAATTTTTATCAAAATGCCATATTGATAGGTTATTCTTTTAAAAGATAACTTGATACAAAAGTTGCACATTATGATCTATTTTTATTATGTTTTGTCCTTCATCTACTTAACATCTAAATACTGATAATAAAAAGTTATTATCTTTGTTACAGCACTTTACACTTTGGTAAACATGATAAAAAACATTCTTGCACACAGTGAGAAATTGGGAAAATACAGAAATAAAGAAACTACAAATGCCCAAAACGAAAGTATTTTACACAAGCTTAATTAATAAACATGATAAACAGCAGTCTTGCACACAATTTGTGAAAATACAGATACAAAACTACAAATGCCCTAAAATAAAATACTGTAAAAGTGTTGCTATATCCTTAGTTGTAATTTTTCTGAGTATTAATTTATTGCCATACTATGTACAATTTTCTCCACTCACCACTCTCGCAACTTCTGACCTAAACTAAACCTCATACCTTTGTACCTTGGCCCATAAACGTTACCCACGTATGAAAATAATGTTGCATACAATAACGGTAAGCACTTTTCCTTTTTAGAATTAATCATTGTCAGCCTAATTGACAACTTCGGTGTGATTTTCAATAGTCATATCATAGACCAAATATTGTACATTAATTCTACATCTCCCTCTTCACATGAAGCTCCTAAGCAAACATATCGTCTTAGCACAGAATGTCATTGTTAAGCAAGAACAGGTTACAGCCTAATATAAGGTCATGGTGTGTGTACTGGCTGTTACTGGTTCTCCGCTTACTTTGCTGAGCACATGCTGTTTTCTATTTATTATCTCCGTGTGTGATTGAACTAAGCTTATTGGTGTTGTCTGTTAATAGTTCAAACATATATTTTCAATTAGACCTTATTTCAATTCTAAAAATTAATGTGGCCTGACGTTGCGAACTTAGCAAGTTCTTCTTCAGAGGCTAAAACAGAAATGACAGAGGTACATACATTAACATACATACATTATTTCAATTCAGTAACAATGCATGCACAAAAGGCTAACTAATGCATATTCCAAACAAAGACACTGCCTAAGCAAAGGCAAGATCATCTAAGACGGCTGCTAAACATAAGATCTATTGGAGATGCAACCGCCCGACTCAATAAAAAAAAACATGCGAAGATGATAAAGTGTTTCAATAACCACAAAAGTCAGACCAAAAAGAAACATCGTAAGCGGGACCATAATACATAACTGTGTTTCGTTTTTGCAGCCATATGGTTGCGAAGGGCGATTTCTAAAAGTTATGTAACACTTTATTTTGAATGAAACTACATGTACACATACATGGTCACGTTGGCGGGTGAAATCTTTGAAAATTAATTCCTCCAGTTTGGAAGACCGTATCTTCATGCAACTTTCAGGATTTATTCCCTATAATGATCCAAGTATATGCTGTATATTACTTTTCGTTGAAATTGGAAAAATAGGCCTCGCTTCGTGCAATTTTGAAAATGGTAACACTGGCGTGCGCAATATCTGTCAATCTTTTCAAGCCTCACGAATATTAATGAGGTTCCTATCCATTAAGGTGTGCAGTAAACAATTACATCAAAGTCTCCTTCACGAGTTGTTAATTAACAAATATCACCCTTTTCGCCGGCTTCCATTGGTCGATACCGAGACCCACGCCATGTCACACAGAGTGACGCTAATGAATATGTTAATATGCCCGCATCATTGTGTGCTGGGCCGAAATCGGTCAGCCGTAGTGCTTACGGCGCTTTGCTGAACAATGCACATGGGTTGGGTTGGCAAGAAAAAGTTTTAAATGATTTTAAATACGTAATCGGCTTTGCCTAACAACAGCGATGCTTTGCGGTTAGCAACCATATGGCTGTTTGCTCGGGATTTGGGTGATGATCATTTCCTCCTAATTGAAGGACTTTTTCTTGCTATGGAGACCACCCTGCTACTTTGAGTTGTATTTCTGTATGTCGGAGGGCGTCATCTTGTCGATCTTAGACTTAGGCTCCATGCTGAACTGACCACTTGCGTCCACGGCTTCCTTGTCTGAGAAGAACGTTGTTGTCAAATTTCCCTTTGCATCAGTAGTGAGATAAAAGTCTATCAAAAGAACAATTTAAAAGACACTTTTTAACTATTGCCATCTATGTAGAAAGCATACACAGTGTACGGAAGGTATTATTTACCCAATTTTTTTTTCAAACGAAAGTATCAAAGAAATACAGTCTTTTTCCCTTTGAAATATGAGAGATGGCGGCCACCTTCCATACCTTTTATACTATATTCATGTAGTCCCACTTTATATTATACCCCGAATCTTTTGGAAGTGGGTAGGAGGCCTTTACACTATAAATGCTATACTAGGCGGAGCAGTTGGGAAAACAAACTGACTCATTATCAGAGGGTCGGGGTTCGACTCCAGCTGCTGGCTATATGTTGTGTCCTCATGCAACCCATTACCCCTACTTAACTGTCTCCACCCAGGAGTACAAATTGAAGTAGAAATTTGAAGAAATGAGTAGATTAAGTTTTTTCATCACCAAGGAAACTGGAGATAATGCGATCCACTGGCCTGATAAGGCATATTGATTTGAGACAGAGTTGAGTAACTACCAAACCAATTTTTTTTTTTTAACTCACCTTTTTGAGATGCCAACTGGAATGTATACATAGCAGTGTTGTCTTGCCTCCCAGTGAAAAAGATCCTGTCATCTGTCCAAAACTCGCTGATCTTGTCTGTCAACTCGCTGCTGTTCACACCCTAAAAAAGAAGTGTTTCGACTTTCTTGTCAGTACTGCAGAATATGTACAGCCGAACTAGCTTGGGTGTTTCCGAAACCTGTGTTCCCTTCTCAGCTTCGGCTTCGTCCCCAACCCAAGATTTATAAGAATCTAATAATCCCAATTTCCCAAATTGAATACACATTGTGTGGCATGATTTAGTCTATCTACTTCTGCCAGCAGACAATGGACAACATTGTACTGGGGTCAGTCAAGTCTGGGGACTAAAATCATTAAAACTGGTGTATGAAACCAAAACCAGTCACGTAACCAGGATTTCGGAAACCCTGACTGATTCAACTAATCATTTTGCTGGACCCAAACGGCCAGAATATATCTCTGGCTAACTGAGTCACTGACAGACGAGTCACCGAGTACAAATAATGTTCCAAGTTGAAGCTTTCGTATACCAGATCAGGCATATACATGTACTTGGTCTTGTTTAGTCTTCTTTTTTTCGCACTACCATGCACTCAATATAGTTGACTGATTTGTTTTCATGATGTAAGCGTCATTTAGATTAAAATAAATTTTGCTGCGGCTGACTTACAATTCTTGAGGGCTCCCCATGATCCAACGGTGAGTTGTTATTTATGTTGATGAAAGCCATTGCTCCATATGAGTAATAGAATCGCTTAAAGCGACCTATGCCAAAGAAAAAGAGAAAAAAAAGCAAATAAACTTTAATATTCTGGGAAAACAAAGGTAATTTTCAAGGGTTCCTCACGAGTGGACAGGCACTTGTAGCTCGAAAGCATGAACAAATGACAAGTGAAGGAATTGTTTAATTTATTGGTGGGGAAAAAACACGGACAGAAAGTCCTGGAAAACCCATGATAAAAATTCACGAAACAGTTTTCCCCCTTTTTTATGGAAATATTAACCATATTAAAAGGAAAGATTAGAATCTGGCCCAAGCATGATCTTACAAGGTGTCAAGTCGTTCGCCGTTGACATGCAGAAACAATTGTTCTTCAAAATCAGGTACTTGGTGCTGTGGTCACTTTGGTTCTGGAAGATGTAGTACGGTTCCGATTCGCCATTAAATTGCAACTGGCTGACATGTACCTTGACGTCTATATCCACCATCACCTGGTCTCCTTCGGATAGAAAACAAGAAAAGAGTAGAATGAAAGACCTCGAGAGAGAACAATCTGAGCCTGCCAGTCTTGGCAAGTCCTCCTGAATTTCTGTTCCTGTCCAACTCTACTCAACTCACGTTAACTTTGAAAACATTTTGATCAAAACCTCCCTATCTGTTTTGAGAATTAAAAAACATTTTTTTTTACGGTCCGGAATGTTGGATTTCGCATGCATGGTGTAGTGCATCCCCGCCCCCCCCCCTTTTTAATTGTTTTAACTCCCTTCATTAAAGCAGCTGGCAAGTAGTACCATGGTTGTATCCATTTGCTTTGGTGACCAAATCCGATAAGTTTTTCTTAGGTAAACATGCTGGCCTAAACAAGATTTGTATTGTATTGTTACCCTTCCTTTGCGTCAGGGGTCAAAGGTGATACGCATGACCTCAATGCGGGACTGCGTTGAGAGATTGTGACATTGTTGTGCAATGGAAAATATTGCGTACCTTCGAGTAAAATCTTGATGGATATTGTGACTTTATGACAAACAAAAGCACCGCCTTCGTCCTCTTGTTCGCGTTCGACGACCTGTTAACGCAAATGGAACAGATATGATTAATTACAATGAATTTGCCTTGGCAGTGTGTCTTGGGTTGGGTTGCGGGGGTTGGGTTGGGTCCAACCTCGTCCCCAGGGTGTCGAGCAGAACGCGCCCACAATTGCGGTATCTAATCAGGATATACAGGAAGAAAGTTTCCTATCCAGGGCTTACTATTGGCTTACTATTGGAACCGAGGTTGGAAATAAAGTAAGCCCGGGTTGGGTTGGGTTGGGTTGGGTTGGGTTGGGTTGGGTTGGGCTGGATTGGGTTGGGTTGGGTTGGGCTGGGTTGGGCTGGGCTCATGGGTTGGGTTTGGTTGAGTTTGTTTCTGCATTCAGTAGGGGACGTTGAACAATAGATGGCAATAGGGTCCCCAATTTCCCGAAGGTCCCCAATTTACGATCATGTACAAAACATATGGGAGGTCTTCCTAAAAAGTTTGAGTACAAATACAAAAGAGGGACAATAGGGGTCCCAGGCAAATACACACTTGTGTGGGTTGAATTGGGTTGGGTTGAATTGGGCTGGGCTGGGTTGGTCAGAGATGTTTCTGGTCAGGTCTAACTTAACAAAGTCAAAGATGAAAAACTAATTTAGAACCGCTTGTCTGCTCCATGTACTTACAATTTTGAAATCCACTTCTTCCAAAGAGCCAAAAAACTGCTGGAGCTCCTCGAATTCCCAACTCGTGACATCATTTTCATTGACGCTGACAATGATATCGTTTTCCCTGTTCAAAAACAAAAAAAATCGTTTTGAAGGCCCAATACTTCATGGTGATAATAGAATAGTCTAAAGCTACTTTTGTACACTCGATTATTCCTCTTTTTATCCAGTTATTTATTTTTTTTTTCTGTAAAAGAATTTCCAAGTAGGCCTACATGTATATCATTTCCTTATTATGTTTTGCCATTTGGCAATTGGGAACACTGATAGTTTTTTCACAGAAACATTAAATTGTTCCACTTTTGTTTGATGGGATAAACTTGTTGGTTTCATTTAACCATGGACCATTTACACCACTTGAATATCAGTTTGAGATGGTTTATTATTAATTAAGTGATCAATTCACTCGATCAATCACTGAATTTAATAGCCTAACGACAGGCTGTCCGATAGAATGATCAGTTAATTACTTGATCAATCTATTAGCCAATCAATGAATTAATCTGATCGATTTAGTTCGCTGATGAATGTTATTGTCAACTGATTCATTTTATAATATCAACTGATCAAAAGATAAATATCCAACCGACTGCTTGATCGTTATTTTAATTGATCGTTTGATTGATAAATTAATTGATGGATCATTCATTGATTAATTAGCTTGTTGATAGATTCCAATGACAGAGCAATTAATTCATTTTTTTTTTGTAGATTTTATCCGTGGATAGATTAATAATGCATCATTCAGTTGATCGATTGATGGATAGATTCATAATGCTCATCAGAATGAACTACTAACTTCAAGCAGAATAAGATGGAATTGATAATGTCAAAACAAGCTTAAGGCTGACTGTGTTTAATTGTGATAGTTTTTAATTATATGAGTTTTCTGAATTGGGAAAAAACTTACTGGAGTTTAGATTTGGCCGCCAAACCATCAGGAATTACGCTGTGGACAAGATGACCCTTCGCGTCCTTCTGAATATGCATGCCCAGTCCCACCATTCCTCCAATCAGCTTGTCAGGATGCCGCACGTGCACGTTGTTGTCCGGGCGGTGCTCCAGAGAACTCTGCATATATAGAATGTCACACAAGTATAAACCATAATCGTAATCAAATCCACGCTAATAATAATTGTGGGGAAAAAAATATTCGGATTCGGCTGAAGAACAGTCGTATTTCCCTCCGATCGTATTTTAGCCGGCCCTAATTATAGGGTCGAATAGGTGCAACTGCAAATCAGGTCTACATTCAGTTTTTCATACACGGGATCGGAGATTTAGAAACGCCGGTTGTTTTTACTGTGTTGCTTCTATAAAGAGTTGACTTAAATAGTCATGTTGCTGTCTGGAATGGAAAACGCGCTTTGGGTTCAGTTTTAAATGCCTTTGTAAACCGATACCGGTCGTTTTTTGGTAAGGTATATACCTGCGGCAACGGCAAGACTTGGCGAAACCGCTCGACTAATTTCCTGACAATCTTGCGGGCTTGTTTCTTCCCCGCGTGCACCAGGTCGGAGAATATTCCGTCGATCACGTCTACACCACCTCCAAGCACCTGCTGGAAACCTTGGCTACACGGTAGTTCCCCTTCTTCTTCTTCTTCCGAGTCCCAGCGTGGCTCTGCCAAGGTTTGCCCCGGGTCAATTCGCGGGTTGTTCCCCTGTCCAACTCCCTCCCCACCCGGTCCAATTGTGATCGCTTCATCTACCTCTCCACCTCCCGCTAACAGGTTCTCCCCAACATGGGAGTCCCCGAACTTTGGGTTGCTTTGTAGGCGGCAAAACTGGCGAATTCCCGGTCCGATCTCGTCCGAGACCGAACGCTGGCTCTTGTACGCCCTGCTGTCATCATCGTGGTCGGCAGAAGGCGGTCTTTTCCTCGGCCGCTGAGGCGCGCCAAACGCTGTGGACGCAGTGGGCTTCGCGGCAAGATTCGTCGGCGTGTCGTCTTCACTCATGCTCGCTCGGCTATATTTGTCCCGGTAAATTCAACTAGCTAATGTAAGACTATCGCCTCTTGTATTGAATGAGCCGTTAAATAAAAAGTTCAGTATCCTGCTTTCTGTTTTTATATTCCCCTTGAAGGAAGTAGGTTTCACCATATGGAGCCGTAATGCGGTTTCGCAGGCTGAGTCCCAGGAACAAGCCAAGGGTTGAACGGAAATTTGAGGTCTGGATTGGAAACTGTAACCCGAATCGATGTTGGTTCCAGTTTATGTGAACTATTATGACACGTCACGGGGTAACCTAATTCGAATATTCACGTGCAAGCAAAGACCATAGATGGTACGGGTATATGGAATAAAACATCTTCTTATTCTATATCTGTGTCTAGTATGGGTACGGTACAGACAGAGCACGCGTTCTACGGACTGTGAGAATCTGGCCAATCAGACTGCGGGAATGGAAGAAACATCATGGAGCATATGGCAACCAATGAAATCTTAGAAGGTCTGAAGTCAATACATGTACATGTCTATTTGGTACAGAAACCAATATAGATAAGTGTAGTCAGGAACGATGTAATATGCATTGTTAGTTCAATGATACCCTTGCCCCAGGTCTCAGAATACTGCGCTATGTGATCCTAACCCCGTTACTTACTTGAACCTCACCTCATACCACCAGCCTTGCCCTTAATTCTGTGCATGCATGCATTTCGTGACCTTGATCGCGTTCAATCAAAATACTGTGAGCTGAGGGTGACTGTGACATGCACACAGAATCACACGATACACCAACTGACCTCGAGATCACGCGATGTGAAACGAAAACTCTCAACTTCTGGAACCTTCAATATGTGATCGTGATCATCGTGTTAAAATAGTCGAAACAAAAAATGTTCACATTGCTCAGATTACAATTATACACGTGACGATCAGTTTAAATACTTCTGTGTAGTTTGAAACGATAAAATTGCTCAGAATTGGAATAACATGCAGAACACCTAACCTGGTGAAAAAAAGCGAAGTGGATACTGTACAAGTTTTGAGGAAAAAACTTGCCGCAATATTTTTGGTGTCGTTTCTAACACTTCCAATTCAAAATTGCACCCACTTATGAACAGTCCCCGAATCAGCTTTTGGGACATGATTCTCGTTCAGACGTTCACAGTTAATGCGCTATCTTCGCAGTATATTTAATTTCAGTGGGAAAATAGGTTCATTTCTGGGTATTTATCACCAATATTCATACGTGCCTTATATCCGAAAAGTTAAACCTTAGCTAGCGAATTACCAAAAAGCGTATTTGGGCTAAAATTATTCCGTCTGGGGCAGATATGGGGGAAATATTTGGGGGAATTGTGCCTTTGATGATACAAGCATGGCATTTGACACACGGTCCGAGTATGTCTTAAGAAAGATATTTGGCTATAGGGCCATCACAAATTTGCCGTTTGATCAAATATAGGTAGAATAGCAAGCAATTTACGATTTTTTTAATGGCTGCTGTAGCTTGTTGTTCGACCTATATTTTTTAAAGGAAAAATCTACCAGAGCCATAACCAAATATCTTTCTCAAACTCGGTCTCTGTGCCAAATGCTTGTTGTCATTTAGAAGAAATCAAGAAATGTAGGTGCTGTGAACAATTAAGAGTTATAGTATGGACAAAATCTTTTTTCGTGATCAAAAATTGTGCATGGGTTTTCACTGTTTTCTCGAAAAGATGTAATATCTACTGAGCTGGAAGTTCATCATTAGGGTTTGAACATTATTCCTTGGATTTTGCGTGGTGGTGGTGTGAACAATGCATATAATAACTTATACTCAACACAAAATTTGGCTGTCACGGATCGATCCTGCTGAATTCAGCAGGGTTATGAGATCGCAGATTATGCTTGATTTAGTATTAAAAAAATGACTTGCTCAGGCCGATGGTCATTTTTTTCGGTGAACAACCGCTTTTTATAGTTTAGTGGTCGAGTAACTATTGGTTGCGAAGTTTTGTTACCAGATGGTTGCTTCAGGCCCGTTCTTACAATGTAGGCCTACATATGCTTGCAAAAGGTCATTGTAACAACGTGGGTTTTGTTTCCGTCATTTCCGCTTCGCTTTCGCTTCTGGCGTGAAGCGATGTGTTAACTTTCATTACTCACGTGTATCGCTTTGTGTATTTTATACCCTGTATAGTCGCTTTCGTTTTCTGTGCTTTATGGTGCACACCTTTTATTTACTGTCCATTTTATTTGCTGCTTGAACTGGAACACTCTACACGTGCGAGGTTACATGTCTTTTCATTCAAATAGACCTATATGGTTTCGTTTCGCATGAAAGAGAAGGAGCATGGACAAGGAAGCTGTGATCTCAAAACCTGAAATGAAAGTTTGCTGGAAATGGTGATTACGCAATGTCTCAAGCATTGCGTTTTCCTGTCGTGTGGCATAATGGCAGTCTCCTCATCCGGCTCCTCCCCCTCCCAATTTTTGGAGATCTAATGTCCACTAGCCCATAACTTGTTATACATGTCATACCAAAATGCGGTATTTAAAAGTTCAAACGACGGTTCACTTGTCATTTCCGTTCAACCTCCAATCTGCGGTTGGTATGCGGTAGAATTTCCTATCGGTTTGAGGGTCATAATATAGGTCTACCATACAAATATTGTAGTCTTCATTGTGAGATTTTTAAAAACTTGTGACATCTATTTATTGCCGTACGATATATTTATTGCAGTGGACCCTAAGAATTGCTGTTAAGTCCTCACAAGTCAATCACAATCATGTCCCCCTGTCACAAGCTGTTATCATACTTGTGAACTGACTTGTGATGGACTTATGATTTGACTTGTGATGGACTTGTAATTTGACTTGTGATGGCATTAATTGTGATTTGAGTTGTGTTTTGACTTGTGATGGACTAGCGATTTGACTTGTGATAGACTCGTGATTTGACTTGTGGGGGACATGCACTGCAAAAACTGTGTGTAGCAATTAAACACTTTTCTAAACACTTTCTTGCTATCAGTTTGTAAACATGTTTAAATCCTAAACATGTTTAGAGTGAGGATGGATAGTGTTTGGCCATTGAACATTGATGTTTAGGAATCGAACACATAATGTTTAGCTCCTAAACATGTTTACAAAGTGATAGCAAGATTGTGTTTAATTGCTAAACACAGTTTTTATAGTGTGTGATTTGACTTGTGATGGACTTGTGATTTGACTTGTGATGGACTTGTGATTGACTTGTGATTTGACTTGTGATGGACTTGTGATTTGACTTGTGATGGGCATGTGATTTGACTTGTGATAGACTTGTGATTTGACTTGTGATGGACTTGTGACTTGACTTGTCAGGAATTGACCACAGCTCTGTTGTATACCTCTATAGTATCCTACCGCGCCAAGCTCTTCGAGCCTATACGTCTTTTCTTATCACTTTCCAAGACCCACTTTGATAATAAAAGAAAAATCAAATCTTCTAAGACTTCGACTTTGAAATTAATGGATTTTCCGTCTTTCCAACAAATTCTGAATTAAAATGGATATGAAAACATACCTGAGGGAGATGAAACTTTTCAAGCCCGATCTCGAAATCGTGTCTCAGGTCCTGAACGCCTTTTTTCACGCCTTCTACCACGGTATGGCCGACGATCTTGACCGCTTCCTTGACTTTGTGCACAGTCTTTGCGATGATGCGGCCAGGCAGGAATTCTTCCTCCGTGGCAGTGCTTGAGGAGATTCTCTCCTCCACCTCAATGCACCCGTTGAAACTCTCTTCTTGCGACGCTTCCTCTTGGCCCGAATGTTCAAATATCTGAATGAGGTTTTTCACGCGGTGGCTGTCACCCTCAGCGTGGATTTCATCGAGTCCTTCGCCATCGTTCATCGTTTCCATCCCAGCGCCCATCAGCGCGGCGGCCTCGCTAAGCAGAGCAGGGCTCACGCGCTCCTCTACCCCATGATTTGGCGCGGCCTCCCCACCGGCGATCAGATGTATTTGGGCCATCTCGGGGCCAAGCACATCCGATACGGACTTCTGGCTCTTGTAGCTTGCACTCCCGGTGTCGTCGGGTGACAAAGGGCGTTTTGCCGGCGGCTGGTCCATACTACCTGTTTCGCTCGAAATGCCCCACTTCAACTCGCTTTGCGACATGATGTCAGTCATACTACTGACACTTTCGAACAATTTACTCAAGATGATGAAGTTTCGGAAGCTGGTATACAATGTAACGCTCTGCCCAACTCTGGTATTAAAACACGAAATTCTGGTTATCTGGGTCTTGTCAATAGCTTGTTTCGCAGCTTTTGAGTGTACTACAAAGACCAGCGCCTGCTTTATAGAGTAGTCACCGCGTGAAGGACCCGGAAACGGAATCGGGCGGTCCCTCACAATGCAGGCCCGCCACGCGCGTATTGATATAGACTTTGGACAGATGTTCTAAACCAGTGACGTAATGGAACTCGATACCGGTGTTCCCCCTTATAGTGATCAAATGATGTCATGCGCAATGTCTTTCTCATGTGAAAAAAACTAAGTCTTTCTTTTACAACAAAGAATGCTGGTTTTCTATGATAATGGGCCTTTTTAAAATCCTTTCCGGTAGAAAAGGAAACTTAGTTTTATAGCAGAGCATTTTTGCCATATATTCATGGAACTTAATAACATTGGATCAAAGCTTTCAGAATACAAACTTTAGACTGATTAGTAAAAACTGACTAAACTTTTACAATAATATGCGATTAAATATGACAATAAGAAAACAAGGAAATGTTCATCAATCTGCGGGGACGAATAAATGTACCTGCTGTGACAATATATGATTTATGTTTTTGCATTAAAACAACTTGTAAATACATGCAAACGTATACTCGATACACACGCGCGAACGCGGGGATTTGTGACGTCACTGCAAGTTTTTTGTGCTGCGACACATCAGCGCCAATACTACATGTCAAATTCGCAAATCCGTTTAAGGAGGAACCGGCCTTTACCTCATATCAAACGAAAAGAATGGCTATTATCTTCTCTACCCTGCCCTCAGAATGTCAATAACAGGATGCAAGGGTGCCCGGCACCCAAGTGACATTGAAACCGAGGCATAGTTCCAGGAACCCGACAGGAATGAGCTAGCTACCGGTTCCTGTTGAACTGGCCTCAGTCAGTGATAATACTTCACTTGTAGTTGAGGGAAATGACTCATCGTCTATTCCGTGTATTCAGACCTAAAAGGGCCCATGCAATGTATATACATATTTTTAATGTAATCCTTGAAAATGCACCTTTAACTCCTATAATAACTTATTTTCAATTTTCGTTTTGCCATTTTCAAGGATAATTCTTCATGAAATGGCACCAGACTAGG